TCTTGGCTAACATGGGGTACCTACATACCCCCAGACCCTTCTACACAATCATCCGGGGAAGAGTGTCTTGTGGGGTAGCCTGTCAACTATAAATGCATTCAAAATGGACTGCATATATCGTCACCGTTGTTCATATTTTTTTTTGACAAGGATCCTGTGAACAACAGTGGTCATAAAGCATGGCACTCCATGGTCACGCACTGTCGCTTGCCCAGTTAATTCTGGTAGTATGCCCTGCCTTTTTCCTCTTTGGCTACAATCAAGCCGGCGTCGGCGGTCTCGTATCTGTGGAAGATTGGACCACAACCTTCCCCGAAATCGATACTATCCACACATCAGGCGCAGTGAAAAGCCACAATTTAACAGTCCAAGGTTTTGTTATCTCGACATTTACCCTTGGTGCATTGATTGGGTCTCTTTCATGCTCATTGATCGGTGACGTCTTGGGAAGAAGAAAGGTCATGTTTGCAGGCTCACTTGCAACGTTGATTGGGGAAACCCTATGTTGTTCCTCTTTTGGGCTCGCTCAGTTGATTGTGGGAAGGCTTATAATTGGAATCGGCATTGGAATGCTTAGTGGAACAGTACCTGTCTGGCAGTCCGAATGTTCATCAGCACATAATAGGGGCAAACACGTTGTTCTGGATGGACTTTTCATCAGCGCTGGGTACGCAATAACGTCGTGGGTTAACCTGGGACTCTATCAGGTCAAAACCGGCTCGGTTGTTTGGAGAGTGCCATTGGCAATTCCGGGGCTGGTTTCGCTTATCCCCATGTTTTCAATCTTCTTTCTCCCAGAATCTCCTCGATGGCTTGTTCAAAAGGGCCGCCTTGAGCAGGCTCGTGCAACACTAGTCAGTCTGAACAATACATCAGCCCAGTCGGAAGACGTGAACGGCGATATTGCGGCAATCCAATCAACACTAGAGAATCACTCTCGTGGTGTTTCAATAATGGATATTTGGCGCCCAAACGATGAAAGGTTATTCTACCGCTTCACTCTGTGCATCATGCTCCAGTTCTACCAGCAAATGTCGGGAGGTAAGTGCCCATAGAAGACACGCCCTACACGTATGCATACCATAGTTGACGCAACTACTTTTAGGAAACCTTATCTCAGTCTACGCTCCGATTAACTTCGAAGATAACCTCCAAATGACCAGCACGATGTCTCGAATACTAGCTGCCGCGACGCTCTCGTGGAAGTTCCTCTCGTGTTTCGTGGCTTTTTACTGCATCGATCGGTTCGGTCGCCGCGTGGTGTTTATTGTCAGCGGGTCGGGGATGTCGCTTTGTATGCTGGCCTTAGCAATCACCACGAGCTTTCCACATACGAACAAGCCCGCTTCCGTTATATCGGCGCTTTTTATTTTTTTGTTTAACTTCTTCATCCCCATCGGGTTTCTGGGTGCCAACTTTCTATACTGTACCGAGGTAGCGCCGCTCCGGCTGAGAGTTGCTATGGCTTCGATCTCGACCGCAAATCATTGGCTTTGGTAAGCTTCCATTCTTGCTGCAGAGATTTTCTTGGAAAGTGCCAGTGCTGATTTGTTAGGAATTTTGTTGTCACGACGATAACTCCTGTCGCAATCAACAATATTGGCTATCAGTATTATATAGTATATGCCGTGATTGGTGCATGTATCCCTATCTCGGTGTATTTCCTGTATGCGGAAACTATGGGGTGGACGCTGGAAGACTTGGTTATACTGTTCAAACAAGGGCTGAGCATTCGAGAAATTGTGAGGTCGTCTTATCGGCCTCGAAACTGTGATGCAGAAGGTCGGGTTTCATTTGAAAAAAGTGAGGTTGAAGAAGTTGAGCATAAGGACCTTTAGGTAAGTATCATCGGATATCAGTAGGATTCGGAGTCAATTTAGTATAGCAATATGTTGTTCCAGAACGTACATGCCTCACAATACTCAGTAAGCACGAGCATTGTATTTCAGCTTGTAAAAGAATAGACAAAAGTAGTATCATGTCTACTAATGTCAGTATCAGATGCCGATGCCTTAGGTGTGACACATACAGCTGTCCGAGTTTTAATATATATTTTGCACTGCTGTCAGTATACTACTAAGTCGGGATAGTAGCTGAAAGTTGACTGGGCAGTTAGTAAAGTTGGACATTTGTAGCCTTAATCCCAGCTCCGTTTCTGGTTGTTCTCGGTTACGTTTTGTGGACTAGCGGGTGATTCCGTACCTTTCGCCCCTCTCGTGCTAGGCAGTTTTATGAGACCCGGTAGATGTTCCTTTCAGGGCGAAGTGCGCCTGTTGATATTGCCACTACGCGCCTTTCCCTTTGGGCTGGGACACACTGGGTTCGCCAGCTTATGTCTGTTACTGGTCTCCTGCAGAATGGTTGGCTGAAAAGCCCATATTCTCCAACTCCTGGACCTTCTAATCACGTATGAATTGCGTTGATCAAGCAAGGTCACAGTTCTATTGTGTGGCGCTAAGTCCAAATGCTAGGTCAAGTCTTCATTTGTTCGTGCTAAGCCTAGCTTCCCAAGTCTTGTGTGTTGGTCAACCCCTCCTGCTTAACTAATGGTTGAATACAAGGCATGGTGATCGCTGTATAGGCATGGTTGGTCGAATCTCGAATCTCTTTGGACAATCTCAGCCCGCCAGGAGCGCCAAAAAAAATGCATACGGCAGGCCAGCGTAATCTAGACCTTCATAAGGCATTAGGCTAAGGGGATGCCAGCAAGGCTGTCACCCTCCAATGAAGTCTGTTGTCCAAGTTTCCAAAATCCTGATCATTCATGCCGCCCTCAACTTGATCTCATCTGGGACATCTTACTGTCTATTCCTTGCTGTCAGGTGATCTGACAGCGCTGTAGTGGTGGCGGAACATGGTGGAACCACAAATTGAGTCCTAGTCAGTGGCCATGAGATTGGCCGGATCGATGGCTACCTGACTTTTTCAACGCTCAAAGTGAGACCTGCTCACAAAAGGGTAGACCAGGCCATCTGCATTCCTGGTCGAGAACAAGGTAGCCATAGTAATCCGGAAACTATGCCCAATAGAGATGGTCAGCAAGCAAAGACAGTCTCTATCTTTGTTCCTCCCCAGCCAAGGGCATGCAGTCAGCGTCGATGTGGTATCATCTTCCTGGAAGCTATTCTTCCATGGAGAAAAGCGAGCTTTGCATTGATTTTAGCAATGGTTTCAGTCCCTATCCCCTGTAAATGCGGTGTAGGCCACGTGCTCCTCCTTCGAATGCTCTATGCCTACCGCCTGCTTGAACCTGGCATGAACCACTTTGATATTATTGGTCACAATCTGCTTAGATGCTTGCATCTGACAAGCACAGCTAATTCGCCGCTTGGCGATAAATCATGGCCGTGGCGTTTCAACTGACTGGGGATAGTGATTTCCTTAGCAGGCCAACCTGGGACCCAGAGACGTGTGGCTGCTAACGCTCGCCCGGTCGTGTCCGAGTCCCAACCTCTCAATCACAATGAGAAGGCGCTATCAGATAAGGACCCTAACATGGGCGTGGTTCTGGAGCGGGGCAAGCACCTCCTGTAGACCCTGGCAGGTTGGAGCCATCGAAATAGAGCTCGGATGAGGCAATCCTTCCTCCTGATTCAGAGGTTTCTTCCCAAATAGCCATGACTCTCCTTCATCTATGACTGTGTATAACAGGGGAAGGTGCAACATATGTATTATGTGCAATCAGCTTTTGAGATAGTGTCGCGCCGTAAACCGCTCCAGCTGGACGGAAGGCGTTGGGGTACGTTCAAGGGGACACTGACAATCAAATGGATAGAGTAACAAATCCTTTAAAGGTTACTGCAGCAATAGTCATACCCGGTAGACCAACAAAAGAAGGGGAAAGAGCCATGGGTGGACATCACATGCCACAACGAAACCAACCATGCACCTTGCTGACCAAGCATTGTAGAACCCTTCATGCAGTTTGCTTCAGCTAGGCTGACATGCAGCCCAATCTCTTAGCGCCGAAAAAACACGAATGTGTATGTAGGGACGGAATATGTGGTTCAGAGACTATACCTTGAAAAGGGGACACAGAAGAGAAATAAACGGGGTTGCCTGCAGTGAGCGAAGGAAGGCAAGTCCTGTGCGTACCACCTCTCCTCCACATTGGTACGTTTAGCGCGCCTCTCTAACCTCCCGGTGTATTTTCTTAGACATATTCCCGAAAAGCCCCGGGGGCCTGTAACATCTAACAGTATCATAGTCACCTTTCAATATGCCCCAAGACTGCACAGTTTGGTCTAAAACCAGACTGAACGAGCTACTACAGCACGAGGACCGTACTAATAAGGGATACGCCCTGTAGCGGCTTGATAGTCTTGATTAGATACACTAGTATACTTAGTAGTGTTATCGAAACCGATATTCTGGGCTTGGACGGACCATTTCTTGGAATTTGACCTACAATATATACTCAGTTAGTCCAAGTAGTTCTACCGTGATGGCGCTACTGTTCTTACCATCTTACCTTCTTTAAAGCAAATTAGTGTGGCTTTGAAATATACCAATGTAGTCGGAGGTGTCTGTGAAGCGTTAGAGATGTGGTAGGGGAAGAATGGCAGGAGTTTCTTTACGAATTCTCGTATAGCCTTAGCTGCGGGGTATATGATATTCATCTCCATTAGAGACCTTGTGAACCTATTGTTTAACACAGCCCATTCCACGACTCATTCAGGCGAATTAATACAAAGCTTACGTCAATCACTTTTGTAGCCACTGTTTGTTTAGTCAATGGAGGTTATAGGATGTATTTTGACCTCGGATGATAGGTTGATGGACATTGTGACACTAAGTGATAGCTTATCTGACCCATAGATCCATAGTGATTATTTTGACTCTTTCCTGAAAGTCTATGACGTAGTAACTATATATTCTTTTTAGCCGTTGTACTTATATTGACATTATGACCCTCGGTTGGTCAGAATAAACACAAGAGGGGTGTTGATAATGGACAATTGCTGCTACTGCTAAGGAGTCTTCTCTAGCATCCTAGGACATTAGACATTTGGTACTCCATATTCAAGCAGTCTCAACCAAATAACAAGGTGCCAGTCCTGATCGTTAGCCATAGGATCAGCTACATTAGCCGACTCACCGTTAACTGCAGAAGGATAGACAAATGCGCACGTTGCCGATCCTCCCGGAAAAAAGTTGACCATGTTAGATCGTAGGATCTGCAGAGCAATATCATCTGTTTGCTTGGTTCTCAGCTCCCGAGGAAGGCGGATGAGTGCTTGACTGGTCAACGCACTCCAGTAATGAGGAAACACGTCGCCCCACTGACGACGGAGGCCAAACCAATAATCATCCCAGTGACGGTTGGCAATTTGATAGAGCCGAGCATGTGGCTGTGACCCGGAGAAAGCCATGAGCCAGTTAAGACGCTCCTGTGTCTCGCTCAGCAGCGTGGCGTTTCTCGTTAAATTATATGTGTCTGCGACCATCTCAACCAGAGGTTCCACGATAGACTGCTCATAGCTGACTTCCGATGACGGGAGGTCGCGTCCATCGTTCACGAAGCTCATAGTTGTATCGACAAGTTTTCTTTTGTATGTGGTGCTTTCGTTATACCGTCCGAGTTTGTCAAGGCTCTCGCAGAGTTCTAGGATGGCTTGGGAAAAGAAGATGATTGGTGCTTCCTGCACCTGTCCGACTTCGAATGCTCTATTGAGTAGCGTCACTGCGGTGTCGATGTTCGTGCTATTACCGAGCCATTTGTACCGGTCGTTGAAAAACATCACAAGCCATATGACGTCGTACAGCCTCTGAGTTTGGGAGCATCCGGTGCAACGGCGAGTATTGCCTTCAGCGTCAAATAGGGAGCTACTGGCAAACTCGACCCAGTTTCTCAAGGGGTTTTCCACTAATTCGGACGAAACATAGCCCTGCATAGCTGCTAATTGAAGAAGCGTAGGCATAGCAATTCGCTCGGATCCATCCCCCCAGTCGTCCCATGTGCTTGACACAATTGTAGTGAGGTTTTCAGTGTCAATGGCAACGAAGGCAGCATTGAGGGGAGCTGGACGCTGGACCGGCCGCTGGTGTTCTAGGATGTAGTGGGTCCTCTCTCGCACAACGGTTTTGAGCGGCAGGTGAAATGAAATTTCAGTCCGGGAATCGCCAATGTCGACGTTATAGGTGCCTGGTGAACTTGCACTGAGTGTATAGCTACTTCCTCTCCGCCTGATCTTCAAATTCGAAGATGAGGAAGTCGGTTCGATCTCTGAAGTAACGGTGTTTTCTTGGTCTAAAGGGGCCGAGTACGCCGAGAAGGTTGCTGGAGGTTTTGTAGCTTCAATGAAGGCGCTGGTATTATCGTAGAAACCAATTTCCCACTCCAGAGCGTATGAGTTTCCTGGGTCAATATGGACCACTGGTTGACCACCAAAACCATCGGGGTCCCTCTTGGCGTCCGTGACTTGAAGGACTATGTGTCCTCGGACGTCAGAGCTAGTACATTATGCAAGAGATTAGCTCCATAAATGGCCCTTTCGAACAATGAGGCCTAGTGATCGGCCCTCGCCTGACATAGGTTCAGCTAACGCCCACGCCCACGCACCGCCGGTGAAAATATGGGCATCCACGGCAGATGTCAGAGACCAGAGGGCTGTGTCGTAAAGGTCGTTAAAGGGGGTCTGTATGTGTAACCCTGTTACGGTGATCCTTTCAGGCGAGGTATTCTCAAACATGTACGTTTCCCTGAGGACCCGCCCAGGGGACCTCGTGATTATTAGTCGTAGGCCATCATCAAGGGGGATGTTGTAAGGTCCAGTGAAGTTGTTGTAGGGAATATGATCCAGATTCCAGGACTCTTCGCCAGAATCAGTGGAAATAGTACCTGCTCCCCATGCATGACTGCGCGTGTGGAATGTTGCTGTCGTTTCATTTAGAAGAAATTCTCGTTGAGGGCTTGCTCCATCAACGAATTGGACGATGGCGCTGGAATTTGAATACAAGAGAGCATGCCCGGATGAAAAGGTATTAGAACGATTGGACGCCTCAGTAATTACACAAATAGGGATCACGGCAAGAAAATATAGTAATAACCACATTTTGTACCTCTGTAAAATCCGATAGACCAATATGTTTGGGAGCTCCGAAGTACCTCGTAATACTCGGTTTTCCTTTCTTATGAGAACCTCTTCACCCGATAGAGCTCGGACCCAATTAACCCGACGGCCTTCTGTCTTTCAGAAGAGGGGGTTGTCAGGGTTCGCAAATAACCTCGGCCGGGAATGTAGTATAGACGATCAACACGCCCCGGCCAATGAGATACTTTGCCGCATCAGAATGCATATTCTTCAGTTTTCTAAAGGAATTCATGTCAATAGCACAATAGGTTTAGTTTCCGCTTCCAATTGTCAAAATACGGGCTGCCGTGCCTGTCATTACCCGATTTAGTAATAGTGTAGTATGTTCGGACATCCTAAGATGCCACCAGTCAGATAGATGCATTCCAGAAACAAGATATCGAAGGGTCTGCTTGTGATTAGTAATATATGCTACTATACAAAGTCTAAGGGACATTCGCAAGCGCAGCTGAACTCGACTCGGGTAAATCTTGTTCCAAGCGAAGATCGTAGGTGCATGCCGTCGCATAACATCTTCAAGGGAGTAGACCACCTAAGCCCTAGCGACACAAGTGCTGAGTCTTGACAACTTGATAGATCCTTCACGAACATTAGGTAGCTTAGGAAGTGTCTAGTTAGCATGGGGAGGCGACTGGTTGTCGTCATGAGCCTTGGACTTTTAGGATCATCAGAGCTATGCACATCAGCCAGTCGCCGAAGTTCAATAGAAAGAACTACGGATTTGCTGAGATAACACCATGTTCTCGAAGAGGATATTAGAGCCACGAAGTATGATTGGCTGAAGCTACTGTATTGGGACGGTTTCCAAGGGATTCATGGTTCCATGTCTGGTCTCTACAGCATTAAACTTGGGCTCCAGATTCAAAAGCTTCATGAGGCATTGGGTGCGGGGTTCCCATTCAGCATAAGTGTACAAAGAAAGACTATTCACAAGATTCAATAGTCTAAAAATGCCTATTCCCGTCTAATACGAGAAATCCCCGAATAAGATGTGGCTTGGTTGACTCGGGAGCTTAATCGGTCCCGGTCTTTTGAGTGACCCCGCGATCCGCCAGCAGACACACCTTTGCATCTAGTGATAGACTGGATCATCAGGCTAAACGAATAAGTTGCGAGAGTATCAAGCATGTTATATTATGTGGTCATGGTGAAAATAAAATTACCCAGGTGGCTTCTGACACCTCCACAGCTCTGTGCCTCGCTGCAATGAAAAGATCATGATGACACTGGAATACGAAGAGGGCGTTGTGGAGTATAAAGTATCGCGATGCCTTCAAGTCTTGGCCTCGTACTGGTACTGCATGCGGCTTGCAAATGCGCGATGAGAAGGCATGTGGGGCGACTTGGAAATAAGCTCAACCTACATGATAGTATCGGGGTTTCCGTGTTCGGGGTTACTTTTCGGGCTACTGTTAGCTGTGCTTGGCTGTTGAGTTTCTCCACGACCTTAACTTCTCTAAGTATTAAGGTTGATATTCCGTCTGGGGCCTGTAATAATATACACATTTCTGTTCAACGACTTGTAGCTAACCGTTCTTGAAAGTTCAGAGCACCGGGGGTATGTGATGATGGCCAAGAGTTCTATTCTAGTCTAGACTACGCCGCCTTCATTTGAGCAGCAGTATCACGAAGCATTCCATCGTCCCTCCAAAGCTAGTAGGCAGGAGCTAAGATATAAACTCAGTCCAAACACCCCACGAGATGCGCTCATTTGAACAAAGTACATTGCTTCCTATTCAAACTGGATCCCAGAGGAATATTTTGGTGCGGAACTTCAACAACTCCTCGATCAACCAACATGCCTGACATTCGCGGCACCACCCTCACCCCCTCAACTTCCAAAATCGACTACCTCGAAGCCTTACGGGAGGCTGTTGGCTCAAGAGGCCTGAAGACTCTCGCCCCTGACAGTGTCGACAGTCCCGAACTCCAGAACTTGCGGCGGTCCCTCGCCAATTCCACTGCGACCGCACCCGGACGGTATACCTGTTCGTCCGAGAAGCCTCTTCCCGTTACCATCAGAGGCATCAACAACCGCGCAACTCTCCAAGGTGGTTTCAGAGGAGTGATTCCGCGCTGGAAACCCGATAATCCACCACAACCCATTAATTTTGCTGCATTCGCAAACGGATACCCACGCCCCGGTCTCGCTTTACTCGCTGCGAATGCGCTCAGGGATGCCGCAAATGACTGGAACAAACTTGACCTTGGGGTGAAGTTCGAGTGGGTGGAGGATATTGATAAAGCGTCGTTCGTCCTCTCCTATGCGGGAGACCAGGGGGGTGTGCTCGCGCAGGCATTCTTCCCGAACGAGGATGATCTCAGTTATCTGAATGTGTACTCGGCTGCATTCCAGCCAGGTACAATCCAGTACTTGAAAAATATCTTTCTGCATGAGCTCGGGCATGTTCTGGGACTCAGACATGAGTTTGCGCCGGAGCTTGAGGATAGTAAGGATGATTATAGTGTTCAATTTGGACCTCGGAATCCACTGTCGGTGATGGGCTATGAATTTCCACCGCAGCTGCAGACTACTGATAGGGATAGTGCTCAGGCCTTTTATAGGTTTCCGGGAAGTGAGCTTGGTTGGAAAGAAGCACATGTTCCGCGGCCGAAGAGAAAAATGTTGCCAATTAAGGACTGTACGGCCAGATGAGTAGGTCTGTGAAGGGGCAGAAAAAGTTATTTTCTTGTATTTAATTTCGGTAGTCATGGATAGTTTGAACTGCAATTTTAATGACGATCTTGACTGGATAAATCTCAGGACTTCGGTATTCTTTTTAAGACATTGGTACACGCTGACAGTCTAAAACTCTTCTTGACTTGGTTCATCGAGGAGGGGACTCGGTATATGTCATCTAAGTTGTTTTAGAAGATACAGATAATTCGTTGAGTGGGTTACTGACAGCGAATGCCTAATGTATGTGATGTTGTGCGTCTTATCCGGCCTGAGGTTGGGACGAGAGTGATTCCTCCAAGCGACCTCGATCCCTGTCGATCGATCTAAGGTCATGTGATCGCGTCTCTGAAGTCCTGCGGAAGTAATACGACCCCAGTAACTTTACTCTTCCTGGTACCCTTGGTCTCGCAATTGTTTTCTTTCCCCTACAACACCGATGCCGAAGACTCGTCGACTTCTACAGCAGGAGATTACATACTCCGAGGCCCAAGATGACCAGAGTAATATTCTTCACAAATTGACTTTTCCATCCCAGCGGGATCAATTTCTTGACCATGTCTACCGACACCGTTCCTGGATCCAAACAGTGGTGTCGCATCATCTTAACCTCCGGTCAGGGGATGCTTGCCGGGTTTCCCAACCCGATGAGTGGCTCCACGGAAGCTTCAACCTATGTATTCCTGTTCAGATAAATATACATAATGAATTAGGCACAAACAAAATGCTTGTCAGAATCCCGCTTCCTTATCGGATTGGTGAGGCTTTCCGACCCGGTAATGCAGATGAAAAGCTCCGCTGCGAGGCTGGAACCTACGCATGGATGCAACAGACGGCCCCTTCCATTCGAGTACCACGCTTATATGGATTTGGACTGTCAACAGGTCAATGTGTAAGCATATCCAGTTTGGTGAGAACATGAGGTTTTGACTAACTACAAACCAGTTCACGGATATCGAGAACATGCCTTTTCTGGCCCGATGTTTTCATTCCCTCCGCCGCCGCTTACGGGCATTCTTCGGGTATCAGATCCCCACGCGATATGTTCCGCACCCCGTCAATGACCCTGGTGATCCGGGTATGGGCTATCTTTTGATGGAATTTATCGACGATGCTCAAATACTTTCAAATACGTGGAGCACACATCACGGCGACGAAAGATCGCGAGCGAACCTCTTTCAAGATCTGAGCACGATCTTTCTAACACTTGCTCGAGTTTCCCTGCCGGGAATCGGGTCTTTTGTTATCAATAAAAATTATTACCTAACTTTGTCGAATCGGCCTCTATCTTCCGAGATTCAGGAACTTGAGAATAGGAGTATTCCCATTGATATGCCTCGCGACTTCACGTATTCAACCGTTGACTCTTACGTGATTGATCTCCTTGCGTGCCATGACAGCCGCATGCAACACCAGCCCAATGCAGTCATGGATCTAAAGGACGGTATCTACCAGATCACAGCCTTGACAATAATGAAAGCCCTATTTCCGCATTTCTTCCAACATGAACTTCGTCGTGGACCTTTCATCCTGCAGCTGACTGACCTCCATCCAAGTGATATATTTGTTGACAGTAATTGGAATATCAAATGTGTGATTAACTTGGAATGGGCATGTTCGCGTCCAATTGAAATGTTACATCCTCCCACCTGGCTCACAGATCAGACTGCGGATAACCTAGATCTTGAAACATACAACAAAATCCGCGAGGAGTTTATGCATATCCTTCTTGAGCAAGAAAAGATGCTTCACGTTAAGGAAGACCAAAAACCATCACTCTCGACAGTCATGGAACAGGGATGGAAGACAAGAACTTTCTGGTACAGCCTCTGCCTGCGAAGTCCTCTAGGCATCCACCAATTCTTCTATGACCACATCCAGACCAGGTTCGCAAAGGGCCACATAGACGACGGTGACTTCTTCCGAATCAATATGAGCTATTGGAGGGAAGGGGCGATTCCATTCCTGCATGCCAAGGTGAAAGACAAGGACAAATACGATATGCAACTCCGGGAGGCATTTGAGGTCGAAGACTAAAGTCGTGGGTGGCGAGAGGGCAACAAACCGTAAATAATAACATTAGTCTATCTGTGCCAGAGTGGTAAGCAAGGCTGCGAGCACCGAGCACCGAGCACCAGACAACAAAGTAACTTGCAATGGGACACAGGTAAGACCCAATCAACTCCCCCTGCTAGCGGTGCTGCCTGATCAGGTTGAAGGGAATGACACGGACGTTATCTGGCCTGTCACCAGTGGGAGAAACAGGCGATGTGCTATTGATCTGCCTGCTGTATGCACCTGTTATCACATGCAGGTCAAATTACGCCATTTCGAGTCAGTGCTTCACACACCCACATAGGGCGATCCCCTGGTGTAGGCTCGACGAGACCATCATCTGGCTGTCCGGGTCATGGTTTGATATCTTGAGGCCCAGGGGACTGTACTCATATCATAGTCACACGCGTGTCCCACTATAATCTTGCAGTGTTTCTCCAGCCTCAAAATAGGGGTATGGACCGAGGATAAGGGCGGAGTGGGTATCATGCTTCTTCCGTGCTACTAGAAGAATATATGTTGTTGTCAGTAGATGCTCACTTGACTCACGTCGAGGGCATTTGCAGTAGTGCCTCCACATAGCAAATGGAGAACAGCCAAGTGTACTGTCATATTTAGTATACCTTCGGATATACTGAAGATATAAGATACAATACCTGCGGGAACAATTCGAGTGACAAGGGGACACGGAGAGGCCTGAACTTCCTTCAACTAGTCCGGTTCGCTATCTCCATCTCATTCTGTGTATTTGCATTGACGTGGCGTGTCGCAATAAGGCCCCAGAGGACGTGAGTGCATCTAGTACCCTTGATTATTAGTTCTTCTTAGCTAGTAGATTATAACAATATATGGACAGCATGCTATGAATGTTTGGCCCCGTGGGTTCGTCGATAGAACCTGTTTGTGGGAAATAACATGCAACCCATGCAGGGTCGTTAAACTTCTTGCTGGCGTACAGAACACATTTTCAAGATTTAATATCCATCGGGATTCCTGGTAGTATGTGGATCAGAGCACGAATCATGTACGTTCCTCTCTGGCGATCGATAAGGGGCACGATCACTCGAGCGATATATACAGAAGTCTGGTTACACTGTTATAGGTCGGTTTAGAAGGGTTCGTCAAGCCACGATGTCGCCATACCGCGAGTCTAAATTGAGATAAGCCAATGAGTAGGATGACAGGCTAGGGCCACTGCCTTTAGCTCTTGAATGATTGGTTTGCGCTCTATGATGACAGTTGACTAGGTGCTTTGCTAAGTGCAGATGAGATATCCCTAGCTGCCGACCGATGTAATTGTGTAGTCGAGATCCTTCTCATGACTCAGCGATATTTTGAATCGACGATTGACAGACAGAAGTGTGTTTCACAAAGGCATCTGGAGATCCTGGTGCACGGAATCTTGCAGAGTTGTGCAAAAGTGGAGTAAGATAAGCTGGTGGAGAAAGCGGCCGACCAGCACGGTCAAGGCAGGTGTCACCCCCAGTCCTTCCCAGCCATCAACATCCCATTGAGTTTACTGTCAGGCATCTCTTTCACCGCATGAAAGCAGACGATAAGGAAGAAGACCCACTATTTTGCATTCTTGTGCCCAAAACCCGGTTTTTGCTATCCCCGCATGGGTAAGGGATGTGGCGAAGGGGGTTGCACCATCCAGAAGTTTCGAATGGCGCCCGGGCTACCAACTTACTTAACCTCATCCACAACCACCCACGGAATCTCCCTCCCGTGTTTGCCGCGACAATACTAAATCATAGACGTATCAATGTCTTTGGTGCAGCACGTTTCTGTCATCGAAGGTGTAGATCGGGAACCTGAACATCAGGATGATAGCACCATTGCGACCGCGGTGACGGGTGAGCCTTTCGCTCCGATCCATCGCAAGATCAGCTACGATGTCCTCCAGCCTCCACCTGCTCCGGTCGAGGTAGCTGGAACTCCTGCCTATAAGGTTTCGACCGCAAAGCGACTGGGTACGTCAATTGAGATAATGTAAATAAATAGTATCGTTCTGACTCGTTCTAGCCCAGGTTATCGTTACTATACTTGCGTGTTGGTTCGCGGCAGGCGTGGTCTTCGGATTCGCTGCCTTGAAGCCGGTTCTGGTCGCAGAAGGTGTCTATCGAGATCTGTGTAGCGAGGACGAATTACGCGACGGGGTGGAAGTTTGCTCCGAACAGGATCTAAGGTGGGTCCTCAAGACTGGTCTAGCTGAGCTAGTATTGACTTTCGCAGGTTGAACCTATTTTTCACCATCGGCTCCATCACAGCCAATGTGTCTGCCCTTCCGGTCGGCACTATCCTTGATCGCTATGGATCACGTATCTGTGGCTTTGCCGGCTGCCTGCTACTTGCGCTTGGTAGCTCACTGATGGCATACTCCTTCTCCCAGCCACAGTTCGATGGCTACATGGTGGGGAACTTCTTCCTCGCACTGGGAGGTACATTCATCTTTGTGCCTTCTTTTCAGATCGCAAATGCGTTTCCCAAGTATGCAGGTACGATCGTCGCTCTTGTCACTGGTGCCTTCGATGCGTCTGCAGCGGTGTACCTCTTCTATCGTCTGGTCTACGAGATGACCAATGGATCCTTTGATCCTGGGAAGTTCTTCCTAAGCTATACCATAGTGCCTGGTTTCATTCTCGTTGCGTTGATTACGCTCATGCCGTCCCATGACTACCAGGGTACGCATGAACTCGAAGTGAAAATCGAGAAAGCAGAGGACGCTACCCTCGATATCCATGACTCGGATGACGATATCGAGAGCGACACGGAGCTGCGACGTGTCCGGAGTGAGCGCGCTGAGCGACGCCGAGACAAGATGCGCAAGATTGCCAAGGTGCTGGGAGACAAGGGGGAGCGGAAAGATCGGGAGCAACGAGAAGAGGATCGCCAGGCTGCAAGTGCCGTTTGGGGGGCGCTCCACGGCCAGCCTGCCCATAAGCAAATGGCCACACCGTGGTTCATCCTGATTACTCTGATGACGGTCTTGCAGATGCTACGGATGAACTACTTCATTGCCACCATCCGTGCTCAATACGCGTATATGCTCGACTCGGATGAACTCGCTGTTCAGATCAACAGCTTCTTCGATGTTGCTTTGCCGGTTGGTGGGATTATTTCCACGCCCTTTGTGGGCCTCCTCCTTGACCACATCAGTGTGCCTGCCGTACTGGCTATTATTGTGGTTCTGACGACGATCATCGGTATCCTGAACTCCGTACCTGTTCTGTGGACAGGATACGTGACCGTTACATTGTTTGTTTTGCTGCGACCACTCTATTACTCGGCCATGTCGTAAGTGCACCCATCCACTATTCTATGGCGCTACTGCTTACTGTTGTAAATAGTGACTACGCGACAAAGGTATTCGGATTTGCCACCTTTGGCAGAGTCTATGGGACCATCATCTGCGTGTCGGGAATGGTCAACTTTGCCCAGTATGGACTCGATGCGTTGACTCATGGACCCTTTGATGGAAATCCCATTCCAATCAACATCTTCTTTGCCATCGCTGGCTTTGTGGTAGGAACCGCGCTGGTATCGTTTGTGTACATGGCCGGGCGGCGACTACGGGCACGGGAGCAGGAACTGGAGGAGGATGAGGAACGACAGCGGTTGATTCGGGAGGAGAGCGACGAAGAAGACTACGAAGATTGATTGGGGGTTGTCAATATGTTTATTTCGTATATGTTACGAGATGGATACAGTGGGAGTATGGTGCATGGTGTACATGGCGCATGCTTGTCCTTTGATGAAGCTTACCGTGGCTTTACAGGGTAATTGTGTTCATAACGGGTATGATATCAATAGTCTATTGTAATGAGAAGCACGAAGTACGGCTCCACAGACAGATTAGAGGATCATACGATGGGGAAGCATGGTTCGATTAAGGTTTGGATCCATCCGTATACTTCTGCCTCTATGGCATGTAGGATGACATCTATGCTTCATAGGGAACAGAGTAACTATAGCATCGAAGTATCTTCCAGTACTATCCTTCATCTTTCTAATAACTTTTCTCTTACTTCAATTCTGTCTGTTTATCTTCCGAAAGGAAATATATGCAGTCCTCTGTCCAGAATCTCAAGAATCTACACCATCTCTCCACTCTTGGCAAGCGGCAGAGACATCCGCCTGACCAGATGAATCCACGTCAGATGTCCCCATCATCCTATTGATCAGATGGGATACAAAGTAACAATGTAGTCACAATACCAACAATAACCCAATCCTAATCATAAGAATATCTCCCAAGTATAACTACCAGTAAATGTCCAAATGCCTGCTCCGTTCCTGCCCTGCCGGCGTCGTCATCATGACGTAGCCATCCGGCGGCCCGCGCTCCACACCAACAACCATACCAAACACATTCTACTACTTACTTACACTTGCGCTTGCTTCATCCTCACTCTTTCTTTCTATGTGTACATTCTTAATCCTTAATATACATACATAGTAGTTTCTGAAGCAGCAGATTCTTCGATTATGGCTTCCATATCCATCAACGCCCCCGGCGCAACCGGCTTCATCTACAACAACGCCAACCTGGGCACCGCCCGCGTCTGCGTCTCCGCCGAAACCCCCGACTTTGATACCGAGACGCTGCGCGCCTGGGCCGACGAGGGGTTTGATGTTGTCTATGCGCCGTATAATAATGGGGGGAAGGAGTATGAGGCGCGGTTGAAGTCCGTTAAGGATGGGTTGGGCGTGGGGGACAATTATGCTGTTATTGGTGAGTACATTCCCGTCGTTCACCGGTTTACTGTATGTTATTCGAAGGCAGTAGGAGTAGGGTTAACTGTTGGGGTTTGTGGTGTATAGCATTCGGCGACGCCGCCTCCTACTGTCTCGACTACTACCTCAAGTCGACAAACTGCAGCCGTCTCGCGGCCCTCATCGCATACTATCCCACTACGATCCCTGATACGCGATCGCGATTCCCGTTCTCAGTGCGCGTGTTGACACATCTAGCGGGAGATACGGTGGACGTGGTGACTATTCCGACGGTTATTGGGCTGCAGGGGAAGAGACATCGCTCGACGAAGCAGATCAACCCTGGTATCGGGACGGGAGAGAGGTTGCAGATCGGCTGGCCGGCGTTTACGTATGAGTCGGCGCAGCCGGGGTTCGCGGAGCATGATCTGGAGGAGTTTGATCGGTTGGCGTCGGATTTGGCGTTTAGTCGGACGTTGCAGGTGCTGAGGAAGGCGTTTGGGAAGGATTTGGATTTGGAGAATAGGTGGGAGGAGCAGCTTGAGGGTAAGATCCCAACGTATCTTTGAACAAAATTCGTATTGGGGGTGGAGGGCTGATTGGTACAGCGCGCTTCTTCTCCATGAATCTTACTGGTGCTATGGAGCCGTACGTCGGTCATCTCAACCCGACACTTACTTGCACGCCTACCATGAGCGGTGGCATCGGGACACATGCGCTGCGTCGCTTCTATGAACAGCACTTTCTGCGCAAGTTGCCTCCGTCGATGCGGCTGCGGTTGATTTCTCGCACTGTGGGGGCGGATCGTATCGTTGATGAGCTGTATGCCTCGTTTGAACATACTCAGGAGATACCCTGGATGCTACCTGGCGTTCCGCCGACGGATCGTCGGGTCGAGATTGTCCTAGTTAGCATTGTCAGTCTGCGCGCGGGTAGACTGTACTCGGAACACATGTACTGGGACCAAGCCAGCGTGTTGGTGCAAATCGGACTCCTGGATCCGAAGTTCATACCGGACGGGGCACCACAGGGAGTGGACAGATTACCAGTTGTTGGACGCGAAGCTGCCAGACGCATCGTCGAAGAGGACCCCGAGGCTGAAGGCCGGGATTACCATAACCGGTTGATCCGCCGGGCGAAGGCTAAGCGCGGGAAGGATAAGCCGGTCGAGGAGTCGGGGACGGAGATGGCGAAGAGTGATACAGAGAAGGTGGAGAGTAAGGGGAAGACGGTGCAGAGGGAGCAGAATGGCAAGGGAGAGGATGCGTTGGAGAATCATGGAGCGGAGGCGGATGAGAAGGAGAAAGACGCAGAGAAGAATGGCGAGGAAGAGAAGCCGGTTAATCCGGCTGCTGCTACGGTGGAGGACACGAAAAGCGATGAATGAGCGTGTATACCCTGCATAGTATCTGTGATTGAGTGTTTTTGTGTGTATTTAGCTTGCATTTGGATTTCGCCTCTTTGCCAATTTCAATCAATCTCATATCACTACTACCACCCCTTCCAAGGAACCCACGTCTCCCTAACCACATCCTCCCCATCCACTACATAATACACGAAATGCTGCGCCGCAGTAATACACGCATGCTGACAATGCAGCATGACCTTCTGTCCGACGTGAAACACATCCTCCACTTTCTTCCCTTCCCCATCCCCCGCTCCTCCAGACAATAACCCCAAAATCCCATGCTCCTGCGACATCCTCACCACCCCCCACTCAGGCCTCTCAACTACCCTCCCAAACCCCGGCACCGCGCTCGTCTCCTTCGACAGCGCCACCGTCCCGGCATTGATCAGCGCCTCGTTGCGACGCGGATACACGCTGCATACTTCGGCCGATACGCGGACAGCCAGATCTGCGGGGGTGATTAGATCGGTGCTGAGTTGTTGGAGGTCGTTTGTTGGGTAGTTTCCTATACCGGAATTATTAGCTTCGCATTATCCAAGGCATTACGGCTCTATGAGGGGGTTATAAACGGGGAAGTACATACCAGCATGAACTTCCACATCGACATCCACATCATCATTCGCATTCCCCTCCTCAGTCAGGAACTGTTTAACCTGACGAACAACATGCGCTGTAGGCGTTGATCCAATCGAAAGCACAATCCTTCTCTTCTTCCCACCACGGTTCTTAATCAGCTTGACACCCCGCAACACACCCGAAACTTCACTCCCCAACGCCCTCCCCGCCTCTTCCTCCCCCTTCGCAGAATACGAATGTCCCGCGTGGCAGTAGAACCCGTACAATTCTACCGCGCTACTCTGCTCCACAGCGTGCACTAGCTCTTCTAGTTCGGGCCCGGAGTCAGGGGAGTATACGTCTACGCCTGCGCGGCGCGATCCGACGTCTAGCTTGATGAAGACCGGCCAGGGAGGGATACCATCTGAGATGGAGTTGTTGAATGATTCGATGATAGGGATGTGTTGGGGTGAGTCGATTAGTAGGAGGATGTTGAGATTTGGGTGGGATTTGCGCATGGAGTGGAGGTGGGGTAGGGCGGAGGGGTAGATTGGGAGGCCGTAGAGGGCCTTTATTTAGTTTCAGGTTTGGGTTAGATTGTGGGTTGGGGATGGGGATTGGGGACCTGATAGGGTAGTATACCTCGTTGAGAATTCCCTCCTCTGCTAATGGGAGTACGCCGCGGAGTTCGCTGAGGGTGGAGACGATGAGGCCGCGGTGGAGGCCGTTGGAGAGCATGAGGCGGGTTATTTCGAGGGTCTTTTGGGTTATATTAGTTTGTGATGTTTAGGTATAAGATGGAATGGTGGGACACCTTTAATGTCTTTACATGGGGACGGAATGATAGTCCCAGCTCTTGTACGTCTTGTTGTAGTCGGTTGATGTTTCTCTCCAGCACGGGTTTGCTGAGGACTAGAGATGGGGTTGGGAGGTCGCTGGCTGGACGGCCGATGAAGGATGTGTGGGATTGGAGGGAGAAGTCCATTTCTGTAGTACACTCTGTGGTGGTATATTCGGGAATTGGGCGCAATTGAGGGTTCAAGTAGCTAGATGTGGGCTGTCCCTGATTCTTATATAGTTTTTGCTGGAGATGTGGAGGGATGTGGGGCCATCTAATCAACTGCCGATAGAATCGCATTGACTATCAGCTCCGCTTACTAAGGACTACACTGCTGGCAGAACAAATCAACAGGTAAATAATGGAATTGATCTATACAAAGGTATCTATACAGTCTCGATATAACGCTTAAACTCCCTATAGAATGGTCAGCAATCAGTCAATGAAAGTTAAGAAGCGAAGGACTTACCAATCCGTAACCGCCTCTCTCCACACCCTCAACTCGTGCTCTCTCGTCGCCGTGAAAAAGTCCACAAACTCCGGGTCGAGAATCTCCCTCGCAACACTCGCCTTGTCATTGAATCTCCTCAGCGCCTCCTCCAATGTATTCGGCAGCAACTCCGCCTTGATCTTCCCCGCCTTCTGCACATTGACCGGCGGCACCTTAATATCCAACTTCTTCTCCACGCCCCTCCATCCTGCCGCCAGAATCACACTCAGCGCATAATGCGGGTGCAGGTCCGCGCCAGGGATCCGCACCTCGAAGCGAGTCGCTCCCGGCTTACACACGGGCGGCGTGATAATTCTTACCGACGCCATGCGGTCCTCCAATCCCCAGCTGATATTCACCGGCGCCCAGAAGTTCTCCACCAGCCGCTTGTACGAGTTAATAGTAGGTGCGAATAGCGGCATGATGTCCGGAAGCGCTTCCAGCACGCCTGCGAGGAATTGTCGGCCCAGGTCGGACAGTCCGGCTGCGTCGGCCCAGGGAGCATTGGGATCGGGAGTGTCGCGCGCGAAGAGGTTCTTGCCCTCTAGATCGGTAAGGGAGACGTGGATGTGCCCCGAGCTGCCGGGTTGGCCTTGCATGGGCTTGGCCATGAAGCAGGGCGTGATTCCATGTTCGACACCGATGGATTTTGCGAGGAGTCTGTTCGTTAGCTTACTATATCGAAATAATAGGCATGTAGTGAGTATACTTGAACAGAGACACCTTGTCGGCCATGTCGCTCACATCGCATACTTTCAATGCCTGATTTGGTTAGCTCAGCGCGGTCCGCACAACTCAATTGAAGCCAACTCAACTCACCGCTTCATACACGCCCGGTCCACCCTCAGTGTGCCATCCCTCAATGCCGCAGTTGAACCGCGCGCTGGTATCAAAGATATCATAGAAGTATTTCTTGTATGCCACTGGGCGCGTCGCGCTGTAGGAGAAGCTGCCTGCAGTCAAGGGGCGCAGCGCACCGGGGGCATTCTTATCGAGAAAGGCGGCGATGTCGCGGGTTTGGGAGCCATTGGCGCCGTATCCGTCTTCCGAGGGGGTCTGGAAGTTCATGAACTCCAATTCGACTGCATACGTCAGCTACTCTTCCAGCGTCATTTCTTCTTGGAGAATTGACTAACCTCCTGCCATTCCCTTGCAATTATTCGCCGCCAACTTATCGCAAATCGACCGCAACATGCTCCGCCCATCCGCCGAAACCGGCTTATCGTTCTGTACGAACCTCACCAGGAAGAAAGGAATATCATCCTCCCAGGGTATCCGACGGAAGGAGTTCAAATCCGGCACGGCCAGAAAATCCACGTATCCCGAGTCGGCCGGCGCAATGTTCGCCTCGGTGGTGTAGAGCACGTCCTGCATGTCCCACCCGAAGACGGCGGAGCTGAAGCCGAATCCCTTTTGCGCAATGCCTAGGAACTTCTCCTTGGACATGACCTTGCCGCGGAGGATGCCGTCGCAGTCGACGCCGGCGACTTTGACTTTGATGTCATTGGCGAGGAGGTTGGAAAGGTCCTCTGCTGTGATTGTCGTAGCCATTGTGTATATCGTCAAAATTTAGAATTAAGGGGATGATTGTAAGGGAGCGTAGAATGGGGGCATTTCTTGGAATGGTTGCTACTTAAAGGTGCGCTTGGAGGCTGGGTTGGGGAACTAGTCTAGTGAGTGTCTACGTAGGAGCTGGCTGATCGCCTTGATTGCGACGGCATAGCGGCGCCGTCGGGTCCGGTGGTCGGAAACGTATTTCTATAGTGTAATGTGAAGCTCATGGAATCAGTTGGTCTCGAATTTGGGGACTTGACTTGGTATAGACGGCCTGTGTTTGGTTGGAATGACGCGGTTCCGATCGGAGCGCGCTGCGGGGATTGCTGGGACCGCGCTTATCTTATCGCGAGGGTGAGGGGTCACAGTGAGGTGCGGAATACTTGCCTCGGATATACTCCGTGCATACAGACTGCTTTCTTTGCTTTGGAAAATGAGTTTAGAATAAAATTTCCATTGGGTTCTGCGGTCAGTAGCTGCAACTAGTAGCCAGGCATACAGGTACAGCGGGCAATCGTAATGAATGCAATTGAACGCGGTTATGCCAGGCGAAACATATAGTAGTAGAAGACCATAGTAGTAGTATCGAACATATTCTCAATAGCTCTCACATCCACACTGGCACCTCCAACATCACCACTCCACTAGTATATACAACATGTCACAATTCCTCCGTATAGCCATTCTCGAATGCGATACCCCCATCGACCCCATCAAAACCAAATATGGCCCCTATGGCGACATCTTCGAATCCCACTTCAAGGAAGGTCTCAGGCGCATCAATGCAGATGTCTCTCTCCAATTGACCAAGATCAATGTGGTCCAGCCATTTGTGGACTATCCCAGGCCAGAGGACTTTGATGCCGTCCTCTTAACTGGCAGCAGTATGTGCTTTCAAACACTTCCCAGAATTCGCATAAGACATGCCGCTAAACAGTCTACAGAACACGACTCCTACAAAGATGAGCCCTGGATCCTCACCCTCACTCGATTCGTTCAAGACTGCTATCTCATCCATCATAAACCTGTAATTGGGATCTGCTTCGGCCACCAGATTATTGCGCGTGCGCTGGGAGCCCGCGTCGGTCCGAATGTATCGGGGTGGGAGGTTGCTGTTGAGTCGGTGGATTTGACGAGTGCTGGGAAACGGCTTGTGGGGAAAGATACTTTGGTATTCTTTTTCCTTCCGGTTGTTCAATTGGTATTTGTGGCTAGGATGTATGCTAATGGTTACATTCATTGTTGCAGGCTATACATATGATGCATCGCGATATCGTATATGAGGTGCCGCCTGGATGTGTCAACCTGGGAGCTACATTGATCTGTGGTATTCAGGGGTTATATGTCCCCAAGCGCATTCTTTGTGTCCAGGGTCATCCAGAGTATAATGAATTTATGGTGTCGGAGTTGTTGAAGTTAAGACAGGGGATGCTGGGAGAGGCGCTGTATGAGAATGCGATGGCGAGGATGGCGAGAGCGCATGATGGGTTAGTATTTGCGGAGACGATGTGTCGGTTTGCTTTGGGAATATTAGAGTAATAGAATAACTTGAGAAGAAACATTACTATTATGTTCAGTCAGTGATTGTTGGTGCTGCGAATTGGAGAAAGGCCCACCGCGGGACCGCGGTCCACTAGTAGACCGCGCCACTTGGTCGCCGAGATACGCACAGCTCTCCTCCCTCTTTCTCTTATCGTCCATTATAAGAACTACCCCTCATTAATTATCTACAATTCCTCATTCTACTCCATACACGCCACCCCCATCACTTTTCACTGCATAATGTCAAACGCAATTCGCACTCTCTCTCCCTCCACCAACCAGGTCATCTTCGAGCACCCTGGTCTCTCGCTCGACGAGGCCCGCCAGGTCGCTCAAACCTCGCAAGATGCCTTCCGCACATACAAGCAGACCACGCTGGCTCAGCGCAAGGAAATTGTCCTCAAGGCTTTGGACCTGATCGCTGCCAAAAAAGATACCCTTGCAGAAGAGCTGACCACCCAGATGGGTCGTCCCATCGCCTTTAGCGCCAAAGAAATCGAGACATTCCGCAAGCGTGGAGATCACATCCTCAGCATCGCAGAGGAAAGCCTCAAGTCTCTCCCTGGCACGCCGGAGAACGGCTTCAGGCGGTTCCTGAAGAAGGAACCGGTCGGACCGACTCTGATCATCACCGCATGGAACGTAAGAATCTTCCCTCCACCTCATAATTTCACAAACCACCACTAACGACTCAGTTCCCTTACCTCGTCACCATCAACGCCCTCGTCCCCGCCCTCCTCGCCGGAAACACTGTCCTCCTCCGCCCGTCCCCTCAGACCCCCATCTTCGGCGAACGCCTTCTCACCTACTTCACCCAAGCCGGTCTCCCTCCTAATGTCCTCCAGCTCGTCCACGTCGGCTCCCCCGACGTGCTCGACCAGATCGTCCAACTGCCTCAAATCCAGCTCATCTCCTTCACTGGCTCCACATCTGGCGGTTTCCGCATCCGCGAAGCAGTCGCTCGCAGAATCGTCCCCGTAAACCTCGAACTCGGCGGAAATGACCCCGCTTATGTCCGCCCCGATGCGGACATCCCGTACGTGGCTGCTCAGCTTGTGGATGGCGCCGTCTTCAACTCGGGCCAGAGCTGCTGTGCTGTGGAGCGGGTGTACGTGCACGCAGACGTGCATGATAAGTTCGTGGAGGAAGTGCAGAAGGAATTGGCTACGTGAGTGCTTCGCATTCTCAAAAAATCAGATCTGGTTCTAACGCGACGAATGAAGATACAAGCTCGGTTCTCCCCACGACAAGTCCACCACCACCGGTCCGGTGGTCTCCAAGGCAGCACTCAAGAACATTCAGTCGCACATCGACGATGCCCTGTCTAAGGGTGCCGTCAACGCCACGCCACAGAACCCCACGTTCGAGAACACTCCTGCGGAGGGTAACTACCAGGTTCCTACTGTTCTGACTAACGTTACTCACGATATGGTTGTCATGAGGGAGGAGACGTTCGGTCCTGTCATGCCGATCATGAGGGTGTCTTCAGATGATGAGGCGGTCGCTTTGATGAATGACAGTGACTTTGGTCTTACGGCTAGTGTCTGGACCAAGGATATCGCCAAGGGAGAGGAGTTGATTGAGCGGTTGGACGCGGGAACGGTGTATATCAACCGTTGTGATTACCCGAGTCCGGTACGTTTTCCCCCCTACACATTGAAGTCGTAATTTTGAAGGGTCACTAATGTTTGTAGGACCTCGCATGGATCGGATGGAAGAACTCGGGTCTGGGATGTACATTGGGACCTGAGGGATTCAATGCGTTCTACAAGTTGAAGAGTTTCCACATCAAGGAGCAGCAGGCATAAAAGATATTTTCAATAGTTGAATAACTTAATTGATGTTGCATGATGATCATGATTCTTTCAAAGAGTATAGCACACCAGCTCTAGAATAATAGATCTCAATCATCCTTGACATATCACAGAACTACCAACAAAAAAAGCGCTTGAATAAATTGATCACCTAAAATAACCAAAACCAAGAAACAAAACCCCTTATCTTCATTCCCAACAAACTCTCCCATCTATCTCATTAATCATGTATCTTCTAAATGATACATTGTGCTCAATATGCAAATTATGCCAAAAGCGCAACTACACTCCCACCTGACCCAACAATGCCTTTGAAATCCGTTCGCTAATCTGTGAAGGAAAGCAGGGGAAGGCTGAGCTATGAGCTACCGCGGTCCCGGACCGCGGGGTAGGTACTTTTAGTAACTTTAGCCCCTCCGCCCCACCCCACCATCCCACCATCTCATCCCATCCCACCGCTTATCATCCATCCAGCCAGCTAGCTTGCTAGCTGCTTATCGGGCTATCGGGCGCGCTCGCGCTTCCGACGCCGGCGGATTGATACAGCGCCAGACAGTGGAGCGGACCCAGCTATTATCTGCACAGTAGTACTGTGAGGAACGGCGGTGAGATGGAGGGGTAGCTATTTAGCTTATTTATTAGGTAAGTGGTTATCGAGCAAGGGGTACTGTGGTCGTACTTATAACCGTGGCCGGTTCGCTTTCACGATTCCCTGACTTGACTTGACTTTGATTCTACTTCTCACTTTATTGCAAGAATACACATAAATACATACACAGACGACTATCTTATAATCTAGCACAATGGTTGGACGACTTGCTGGAAAGAATGCGCTCGTTACTGGTGCTGCGGGGTAATTTCTCTCCCCCTCTCTCTTTCCCCTGGGAAGCAATGAAGCTAACAATACTATTTCATGCAGAGGCATCGGTCTCGAAACCACCATCCTCATGCTCCGCGAGGGCGCCTCCGTGCTGATGACTGACATCAGCGGCCCCGGGCTCGAAAAGGCCCTGAACAAAGTGAACGAGGTTGTGCCCGAGCGTTCCGGCAAGGTGGAGACTCGCGTTGTCGATGTCTCCAAGGAGGCGGATGTGGAAGCTGCTGTGGGACATTTGGATGCCTGGGGTGGATTGGATGTCATTTTCAACAACGCGGGTATTATGCATGCTAAGGATGGTGACTCGGAGGAGACTCCCGAGGCGATCTGGGACTTGACCATGAACATTAATGTCAAAGGTGTGTGGTATGGATGCAAGCATGCTGTCAAGAGTCTGAGGAAGCATGGCAAGAAGAAGGGAAGTATTATCAACACGGCCAGTATGGTTGCTTTGGTTGGTGCTGCTACGCCTCAGTTGGCGTATACGGCTAGTAAGGGGGCGGTGTTGGCTATGACTCGCGAGTTGGCGATCGTGCATGCTAGGGAGGGTGAGTTGCTGCTACACTGCTGCTGCTGCTGCTGCTGCTGCTGCTGCTGCTGCTGTGTGTGTGGGATGGTGCTGATGGTGATGATGCAGGTTTCCGGTTCAACTCGTTGTGTCCCGCTCCGCTTAAGTGAGTATATACCCTCCGTGCATGCTGGGATGAAGCTAATGAATGCAGCACCCCCCTTCTGCAGGACTGGCTCGGTGACGACAAGGAGAAGCGCTTCCGTCGCGAGGTTCACTTCCCGACCGGTCGTTTCGGAGAGGCCATTGAGCAGGCCCACGCCGTTATCTTCCTGGCTAGCGATGAGAGCAGCTTCGTCAATGCGGCGGACTTCGTCGTCGATGGTGGTCTGACTAAGGCGTATGTGACTCCTGAGGGCCCTGCTACTGAGGCCCCCAAGAACTTGGGTCAATAAGCAACGACCTGTCTGGTCAGGATGCTATGAGTGATGATTGTATGATAGACTGGTTGATTAGGCAAACGATATCCATATTTGATTCCGCTGCATGGCGCGGCAGATGTTCCATGGGCCGGTTTCGTCCAGCGGCATCTGCCACATGTGTTCCAGTATGAGTAGAGTCCTCTGCATGTTGCCAAGGCCAAACGTGTTTACCATAATGGTGAGCCGGCGGCGTAGACTATCCTGGTGTTCTGCATTGGTTAAGCACGACCCCACCACAGCAATCGGCCAACAGAGCCCGGAGTTGATCCGCGCGGTCCCAGACAGCTGCCCTAGATAAGTCATCGCCTCTGTAACCGCGGTCTCTATTAGCCCCTGATACATGCCGTTCTCCGCCCGGGAGAACCCGCCTAGCGCGGTGTACAGGTAAAGGAGCATCGCCTGCTGGAAGATCCGCCCTGCCAGAAATACCTCCGGGCTGACCGAGGCATATGGTGTCCACCGCATGATCTGTACTTGCAGCGAGCTGAACATGGCAATATCATCTGCAGTGGGCATAGCTGGTCGGCCATCGTGCATCATCCATTGCCGACCTAGGTCGAAAATGCACGGTATCAGCAGCAGCAACTCCAGCCAGCAACCACATAAATTCCCCACGTATTCCGATTGCAGCAGCTGACGCGCCCGCTGTTCGAGATCAAAGTTCAAGAACAGTTGAGTACTGACACGAGCATCAACCGAGATCATGCTCACAGCAGCAGTGTAGGTGTAGTATTCGATAACAAAGTCTTTTAAGTCTTTCGGTACCGCTGTATCACTTTGTGAGAGCAGTCGAATAAGAAGAGAGTTAGCAGCAGTCAGGTGGTCAAATATCGTGCCATTCATATCGCCTTTGGCCGTCTGCAGCAGTTAGCCACGTTCAGTTACCTTGTAATGTAGCCATACCTCTGTAAAGCACATCACCAACGCCCCTACCGTCAGCATGAGCGGGTTTGATTCTTTCCCGTCAATAAAATCGGTAACACCTTTTCGGAATAGCTGAAGGGCTGAGGTGTAGTGTTTCTGTGCCACCTCGTCAGACTCCTTGTGGCAGCGAAACGCCCGATGGGCAGCACTCTGCGTCAGAACCAGCTGGAGCAGGAGATCGCTGCTGAAAGCGAGTGGCACGATCTGGACCAAAAATGGATTAATCGGGGTAGAGCCGTTGGCCATGCAGTCTGCTGTCGTGGCCAAATAGTGGCTCAACAGCTGATAGGAATCAGGTCCATGGCCGGGAAACATGGACAGGCTCCGGGGGAGTAGATTGCTAACGGTGGCAGACGTTCCTAGGGCTTGGCTGCTGCCGATGGCAGAAGTTGGAGTAAGGTCCATTGAAACCAAGGGACCTGATGCAGGAGACTCGCGAGACGTGTCTTCCGGGGAGTTGGACTCCCGTAGTATCTCCTCCGGGGAAGATGGGGAGGTAGAACGGGACTCGATCGAGCTGGACGTTTCCCGGTTCACGCTCATCTGTCGAGGGGATCCATCTTCATTTGACTGTCGATCGTGATGGCCATCCTCTTCAGGCATGAAGGAGATATTGTTGGCTTTGGGTTGGCCTGGGATGATGGTCGGCCACTGGCAGGTGAGCTTATTCCGCACGCATCCCCCACAGATGGGTTTGACTTCATCACATTTCTTCTTGCGGCGTCTGCAGGCCCAGCAACCGGTGCGGACGCGGACGATGGGGTCGGTACGCGGCCGTCTACTAGGCGGCATTGGTGTGAAATAAGGGGCTTAGCGCTAGAGGAGTGGGAGATTGGAGAGAATCGGTGCTAAGTTCAGAGGCATGGAGAGCGGATGGGAGAACAAGCGGAGACGGCGCGGGAAGCCGAAGATAATCCGGTGATTGGTTGGCGGGGCCGAAGTGGAGATTCCATTGATTCAGCTTCAAGTTGAACAACCAGCATTGTGAAAGGGTGGTCATTCTTGATGTTCTGGAGAGGAACATGCAGTGGGAGTTGAACTAACTGTGTTTTGGCCAAAGAGGAAGACAACCCCCGATTTAATAGGCCAGCTACTTGATGTTAGGTGCCAACTGGTCAATGCCACCACCGACATGAGAAACATATTATAACCACTACAGGACGATACATCTGAACATTGATCTATCCAACAGCTTAATAAATACACCAGTACTACTTGGGATGATGGATCACCACCCCGTTGGCCTCGGCCAAACATCTACAATTGTCGATCCATCCCCATCCCGACTTGAATCCACCACCAGATACCACCCATACATAGCCCCCGTCACGCACGCATGATTCGGATATATCCTGACAGTCTGTCCGACCTTGAGCGGAATTGTAGACCCATCTCCTCCTTCCCACGCAACAATCGCATGTTCCTGGCTGATCCGATCCACAATCAACCGCGATGACCCCTTCTCTCGTCTCCAATCCCCAACCATTCCCCATCCCGGATACGACTTGCACGGCTCCCTCCCCAAAGCCAACGACCCAGCAGCCACCAAAGCCTCGGGTTTCGACCGCTCAGCATCGTTATACACACTGCAGACCTCTGCCACAACGGATATGCCAACCTCTTTCTCCGCATCCGCAGTGGGATGGATATTGGTGCCCAGTTGCTGCATATCCAGAACCGGGTAGACACCCGCATGAAGCTCAACTTTGACTGACAACTCACCATCCACATCCTTCTCGTGCAACAAGCTCTTCAACCGCCTTGCCTCCTCATTCAGTTGCCCCTTCTCCTCAAGAAACTTCTTCACCACAACCACTTGCGGCGTAGCCCCAACACTGACCACCAATTCCCTCCCCTTACCACCAGGCAATGTGAACAAATCCTTATTCTTCCTCAATGCCTCCCGACACCCGGTGATCTCTTGCACCAAGAACCCCATTACCTCCTCTGGCGTATCTACCCCGTAACTCAAACTGTTATGCGAGTACACCCCCAGCAGTACCAACTTCCCCTCTCTCTCCCCATCAATCACCGACTGGATCAAACCCCCCTTATTCAGCATGGAAGGCGGGAGTCCTGCCCGATGATACCCCGAATCCACCTTGAGAAACACCGACGCCGCATGGCCCGCCAGTTCTCGAAACTTGGTCAGATACTGTACCTGATCGGGATGATCAATCATAACAGAAATACTCCCCTCGCCTAGTTTGCGTGCTAACGCAGCCAACCGAGGAACCTGAGAGGGTACGAGAGGTATGCCGTAGAGTACATTAACATTTCGTCCGGTGGCCCGGAGTTCCTTGAATAATGGGAGTAGAGTCTCCCCTTCCAGAAGAGTGGAGATGACAAAGTTTGCGGGTATAGATTTGTCCTCTCCAACTTGAAGACGGGCTACTTGAGGAGTCTGCCATTACATTAGCCATCATATACCATCGAATTGGGATTTAGGTAGAATAGGAGGAGCATACTTTGTGTGTCTTGACATGTGCACGGAATTCCACATCCAATGCCTTTACTGCATCCAACATGGATGCGCAATGGCGCTTGATGATGGCTACATCTAGGACAACGGCGGGCTTGGGGACCGAGCCAATGTCTTTGCCAATGTAGTAGCGTTGAAGGGATTCCTGGGAGGGTGGTGGTCTGGTTGGGAAGTCCATGATTAGACCTTTTTCTCTTTAGAAAGTGAAGCTGGTATTGTCTTTGTAGTAAGTAGAGTTAAACCGTGTAGCTGTGTAGAAGGTATTGAATCGGATATGTCAGTTGAAGTTGTCGATGGCCATTGAATCATCATGTGGGGCAGTTTCGGTGAGGTGCGGGGGGAAGGTTTAGCCTGAAGTTTAGCCGGGGGCGGGTCGAATTGATAACTTTCCCAAAAGACATAACCATTGGTAGAGCAAACACCTGTTGATAGCTTCTAGAAGAATTCAAATGAACGTACTATGAGCTCTATTCTGTATTAGTAATATCATCGAAATGGTACACTGTTGAGTTCCAACACCTCCCTTTTCCCTAATCGCGTTACGAAGCACCCTTATCCTGTCCAACCTTCCAAATCTTAAGCGTAGGTAATTCACACCTAGGGCTCCGCCTAGACCTAAAATCCTCCATCAAAGACCTTGCCCCCTCTTGATTGATAGACCAATGCCACGGACGAACTTGATCCGGAATCTCCACATTCTCGAGATCAACAGCCATCACCTTACTATACCCATGTTCCCGATCACCACATAGTATAAAGTTATCCAACTTCTGATCTAGATAAAACGCCTTATACTTCGAAAGCTTATCAAAGACATCATCCAGATAAGACTTTATCAGGTTCTCAGGGACTTCTTCGTTGCTGCGAGCCTCATCATGCAAAGTAATCCCACGGATATCTGATAAAATGAGTGCAGGTAGACCATCGTAGTACCCCTCACCGTAGAAGTATGGGATAACTTCCCCCTGGAGGTCTTTTAGTTTGGTGTAGGCTGTTTGTTCATCTTCGAATTCTTCTTCCCAGTCTTCTTTCTGTTGCTTGATGATGATAGATATGGCTGTTTCTGGGATTATATGTCGATAGCATGATGAGTCTGGTTCGAGGTGAAAGCGGTACACTGTTCGACGTGGATCTAGGTGCTCAACCTCTGATGCTTTGATCTCATGGCTGTCTAGCTGGATGATCTACGGGGGTTAGTATATTCCAATTTTTTCTGCTAGTATGTAAAAAATATCTTACTTTGGATAGCTCCATGGCCATAGAGTAATAAGTCATGACCGCTTAAACATTCGCCAACATGAAGAGTGCTGAGGAGGATAAGGATAAAGAAATCACTTTAATAACAGCAATAGGACGATAACCTGCATCATGTGGTCTCCCACTGCAAGGGGGAAAGCTATATAGTCTAGGCTGCGATAACCTAAATTAGGCAGCATATGAAGTACTAGGGACCGGAAAATTTTCGATTCTTAACTTCCACATCGAATTGGGTATGCAAGTAAATGCATCTCGTACGGGTGTGGATGAAAAATAGATTAATCTACTCTGTATTCTGCTGTTAAGGTCCAAGCTAGTGCGCCTTTGATAAAAGGATTCTCTTAAAATAGTATCAGCTGCTTTATTTTATCTACAAATCAGTTGATATTTAGAACAGTCGATTGAATTATACGCAAAACCTACAGGAGATCTGGAAAACAGACTGAGGTTTCACAACCGTGGACGTGATTTATCAGACCGGTTTCCTTTCAAACAATGATCTCAACCTTGCGCCCAGTGACCGAAGCTTGGCTGGCCTCCTAGGAAAGTCCTGGTCTTCTATATCCCTCATTACCGGTCCTTGTTCATAAGGCATATCTGAGACTGGACTTAGAAGTGGTGGTTGAAGCAACTCGTACTTAGAAATAGTCTCCATCCCAAGAACTACGTCGTATGTGTCTGTATCCAGGACTAAGAATTTAGCGGTATACTCCGTGCCACGTCGTGCAAATTGCCAGTTCACCTCAGTTTGGAATTGTGCCGTAAGGCTGGTTTGATTCGCTGCATCACTGGGGATGGAGCCCAGAGCCTTCGGCGTAATGGGTTGCAATGGGGCCTCTAATTCCTGCGCAAGTCTAAGAGACATAATATTGGCAGTAGCCTTTGTGTCCAAGTAAACAGGCACCGCTTTTTTCGAGGAGTGACCCCAAAAATAGGCGGGTTCTGAGAAATCGTCTTCTGAGTCCTCCACGATGTCGCTCAAAGCAATTGAAGGTGTTTGCTGAGTCTCAGAATGCTCTTCACTAAGCTTAACCTCGCGAGAGTCCATGGGTGTCTCGAGCTCCTCAGCCTGCTCTATATAATCTCCCTGTGTATTAGACGGCGATGAATGAAGTGCTGGATTTGCATTTGCTTCACTCTTCTGTCCTTGAGACTCGATCTCATTTACCCTTCTAAGTTCATCCAGTTCTTTTTGCCTTGATTTGTCAGAATCAAGCTCATTTGAAGATGACGCTTCTGAGCTGCAAGCAAAATATGAATTCTGCTGGAAATAGTCATCATACCATAACCTCTCCTTGCAGGGAGGTCGCTCTATACTAGGATCTGTCGGGATATTATTCTTGCTCAGCCAGTCGTAGACCTTTTCAGAGCTGTTGTGAATATTTTCAACACTCTCTTGTCCGTTATCATCCGCCCATGGTAATGCCCGGAGCGAGAAAGAGTGGACCTCCTTAGCGATATGATTGAACTGTGCATCTTTTTCCACTTCAACTTCGTCGTCTTCTGGCCAATTGCACAGTGGACAGTGTCGGATTTCTGATGGTATTGTCTTTTTTGACAACTCAACCAGGACTGGTATATGGGCTACTGGAACGGTCGCAGCATGAAAGGACTCTGTGTGCTGCACAAAGGCTTCCCTGTTTGAAAATTGAGACCCATCATCACATGCAAAGCAGGTCCAATATGTCATGCTGTTGTGATCCTTCAGCATGTGCTGTCGCCAACTATCCTTTGTATTGAAGAGGACATAAGGCTGATCGCAACTGGCCAAAACACAGCTGTAGGGGCTCAAATCATCTTCAATATGTTTTCTAGTCTTGTGTTAGCTTGGCCATGATTGGATCTGCGTCAAGAATCTCACCTCCACCTGATTTCATCTGTCATTTTTGCAGGAAGCGCTTCGCAGCAACAGGGACACCGAAAGAGCCGCGCATCATCTTTGAGCTGAGGCGGGCGCGGGTAATCTACTTCGAGTGCAGTAGTTGATACTGCGGAAGACGTGATGGATATAGCGTGGTCTGTTTGGTGTAGTGTGTGGCCTGGTTGTGGTAAATGAAAGCCATCGGACAATCTGGAGGCACTAGTTCCCGTGATTACGGTGTTATTGGCGTGCATTGGGCTATTATTGGAGGATTCCCAACACGGGCTTCCTTGGGGTGTCTCCTTCTGTGCTGATCCAGCTGGCTTCGGTACAGGTGTGCGACGTACGTAGCCAGCATCCAGACCCATGGCGTGTCTTTGAGAATACAAAAAGCGATTTCGGCGCTTTAGGTTGCAGTGTACCAACCGCAATTGTACTTCATCCAACTGCGATGGGTCTCTTTCTTGGATACGACCATTTAATTGACAAAGCAACATTTCGATAAGGTGGCCTTCCAGCTCCTGGTGCTCCGTTGCGTTGAACAGTTGGTCTGCCTTTTGCAACCGTGAGCGCCGTCCAGAGCGACGAATGGCAACTGCGACCCGGGAAAGTTGATCCATCATCGACTCAATGTCATAAATTGACTCATACAACAGATTCCCGGATGGGTTCCGCAACTCATGACGGCCCATCAACTGGCCATCGGAGCTAGAATCATCGGACCATGGGGAAAATGTTCGCCCTTCTCTTTCGTTCTCAGAAGAGGCAGGGTCTTCCTCGTTGTGATAATTCCGCGAAAGGTCTTGTGTTTTGCTTCGTTTTAGGCATTCGTCAATCATAGTACTTAGCAGGCGTAATAAATTGAAAATCACATCATGAGCTTCGGGCCTTGAGGCAAGTCTCGAGTCCAAAGAAGCTCGTCCTCTGGCGCAGGCTCCGGTGCCTGATATCCATAAGTTCATATCTGCAAGGCGATTCTCAGCCCACTCGTTTTCCATGAGTGGTGGATTTTGCAAGCACTGTGTGAAAAGGTCAACGCACTGCTGTGCAGCCTCTTTTATGCCCTGCTCCATGGCTGTCAGGCAGCTCGTTGTGTATGTAGTCGCTAAATGCGACGATATGTACTCATGTAGATAGATTCGGCTGAGGGATTGCAGCCTCACTAGTCTCACTGGTCTGATATTGATCCGACCCCGCTCCTGCTGCACGGCGCTTACTTCAGTACGATGAGGACGAAATTGTTCCTTCCCTCTTTCCTGTCTTCTTTCGAGAATCTTTAGGCTTTTTTCCCTTAACTTTCCATATAAATGGCACAGCAACCCACATATATCCTCTCACCCAACTTCCATTTCAAGCCAGAAACGGGCCCTATCGGATTGGGGAACATAATATCACACCCCCTGCGACCACACCGAGCCCTGACAACTGTCGATGCGACGACACTGGAGAAAGTGTACCCACGGATAGAAAGATTTACGGATTACGAGCGAAGTATTGAACGAGGCGACAGCCGCGATGTCTCGATGAGCTTGTGGGCAGAGTTCCTGCAGACGGTATCCGGAGAGTTGTCGGGCGGACGGGGTAGCGATGTGCGATCAAACTATAGGATGGACCAACTGGAGACAGAATACTTTGTTACCGACCCTCCGCTGGAAGAGATCCAAGCACGTCTAAAGGCCCCTCGGGTTCAGGCTGTCACCAAGGCAGGCAGGATTCCTGGATTCAGGAACCCTGTCTACATGGTTACAGGTCTCATGATAGCGAAAGGGTTTACCGCCACTATGAAGAACAACAAACGTCACAATGGGGAGATTGAGGTTGGCGGCAATTTTCCATCGCCGGGATTTCAGGTTGGCGCTGGAGCGAATCTCGCCAAATCGACCAGCACAGAAGAATCAGATACTTGGCGGGCGGGCGAGGATATAGTGTTTGCATATCAGCTTCTCAAGGTAGAAGTCAAGGGTTGGAAAGGCGATAGAGTTAAATACGATGAGCTGAGGCACAAGGCCGCCTACTTGAGCAATGATGATGAAGATGAGACAGATGAGGACGACGATGCCGTGGAAGAGATCATCATAGGTTCAGCTGATCCGGGCACTTTATCCAGTGATCATGACCAAGGGAGTCTGACTGTGACAGAAATTGGAGAGGGGGATAGTCGAGTCAGCTGTATTTCTTCGATGCCTGGGAGTAGTCCTTGACTCAGAGTAATCAGTTCTCATAATTAGAGCCCAGATAACTTGCCGCCAATTTTTGCCCACCGGGCATCCTCCGGAATACCTATCAAGCCCCGTACCGTCAGGTACAAATAACCTGACTGGAGCGTGTTAGAGGATATGGCCCTGAAGATTGCATTTATACCCCGACGTGTCCAGGCTCGGTTTTTGGCATTGTGAAATGGCTTCTCGGGAGGGCGAGAACTAATATATCCCAGAAGAGATCCTGCTATTCCGGCCGCTATAGCCGTAGCAACTGATGTTCCAGACCTATGCTCTTCGCCATCAGAGTCGGGCCACGCAGAAGGAACGTCTATGCCAAGAGTCCCGAAAACCACCGGTTCATCTTCATGCTTAGGGGGGTTAAAGTCTGCAAATAGGCCGTTTGAATTTGTCCCTCGAATAGAGATGACAGACTCGTGTCTGGCGGGAAACATCTCTCGATCATTTGCCCCATAATTTGACGCTTCTGCAAAGAAAAGAATGGAATCTTTGCGTTTGTATAGTGCTTCGCGAATTGCGTCACTAATACACGGCTGTTCGTCTGCAAAGCCGAACGACATGGAGATGATGTCGGCTTTCCATTCTCCACTTGCCCAAGAAATTGCCTAAGCAAGTCAGCTGAGTCACATTCAATATTTCCTCCTTTGGAGCACTAACGTCTGCAACTTTCTCGCTGGAATTTAAGAGTTGATGGGGGCTTTTGGCAATGCGTGCTACATAAATATCAGCATCGGGAGCGCACTTCAGAACGAGAGACACCAAATGAGTGCCATGTCCATGACAATCTTCGGGCTGGCTCGAACCATCAACCCAGTCTCTCCAGCCTTCAAGGCGTTCCATAACATCAGGTGAAAAGAAAAACGGGGCATTATCGTCGTAACCAGTGTCCAAAATGGCTATCCGTACGCGCTGGGATACCCCGCTTGATCCCGCTGCTGGCACAACTTGCGCTAGCTCCCTGTTAAACTCTTTCAAGTCTAATAGCCAGTTGCTAGCGTTTTTCTCGCTTTCGGTGCGCTTCCTCCTGCGCTCTGGCGCTTTGCCCTTGTCAGGATTGCCCGGTACATTAACTTCTTTCATTTTTGCATCCTGGGAAAGGACATTGAGCGGGGCTATCTTTTCATAGTTGTCGATCCATTTCGTGCCCTACAGAAGGTTCTCAAGCGGAAACACAACTTTCTCGTATAAGATGTTTCTTCGTTGCTTGAGGTTTTGTCTCTGTTCAGAGGCAGATAAACCTTCCATACAAGCCGCCTGGTCGAAGGTACCGGGCTCCAAACAGTGGCATATTGAATTCATATAGTCGGGGTAGTCGAAATTCTTCCAGCGCTCTTCATCCCTTGCATAGTTGATTGCTGTGAGCAGTTCAGCATTCACTTCGGCGGCCAAGGACTGCCCCTGATTCTCACGCTTGGGAAGCGGAAACCCAAGACCTATCTCAACGAGCATAAGACCAAGCGCTCTGATCCTTGGGTAAACATGCACCATCCCAGGAACCTTATATTGTTCGTGCCACAACGGACCTTCATCTTTGAAATCCACGGATACATATGGTTTCCAGGTAAAAAGCTTACCCTGGCCCCTATCTCCGGAAGTATCGCTTTCCCTCATGAATTGAATAGTCTCGCTTGTCCATTTTGTTCGCATCCAGTCTGTATCGTAGTACTGCCAGACAGAGTAGGCTATTATATAAGCTAGTACAAGCTTCGTTCGTGCCGTTAGATGGTAGGTGCTGAGGATTTTGGCCAAACATATCCCCGGAATATGGTCGACTTTCTGCTTGTGGGGCTCAAAGAAATGATAAAGCTCCTGGTCTTCAATAGAGAGGCAAAGGCGCCAGCCTTTGGCTAGATCGAGTAAACGGCAGAATTGGCCTTTGTCTGTTCGTTGCCTCATTTTTGCAGATAGATTGTTGGCCTGCTCATCTCTATATCCATCATCTCCACCAAAAAATCGGACGCACTTTTTGCCGTGTGTATGGTCGTTTGGCACAAGCAGCTCGATATCTTGCCAATGAGTGAGCTGTGACTGGTTCCAAAAGGGCTTTGGTGAGAACAGCATATCAAATTGCACCAGATTGTTACTGGCCACTGACTGGGAAGGTGGCTGTAGCAGGAGACACACTAGGTGTCCTCTCTCGACCTGCCTACGAACCCCATTGGTCTGGCAAGTACAGCACATTTGCTCTCGTAGGACTCGATGAGCGATCGCGTTAGCAAGATCTGAGCGCTCTGGTCGAGCGGCTCTTTTTCTAGAGCCGATATCTCCACTCTCGTCGCGCCTAGATGACTTGCGATTGCGCTCAACGAATTTTTGGATATGAGAAATGGCCACCTCGGCATCACGAGGACACGCGGTAAGCTGATCAAGTCCTCGTCGAATCTTTTTCTAAGCCTTCTCATAAGATGTCACGTCAGGGAATGGCTTTGCTATCGCTTCAAGAAGAGGATAGTCATTTCTTGGTATATTCTTCGGCCACTATACCAAGCTCATCAGGCTCCATCGATGTGGGATATAGTTTTCTGCCACACTTACATTGCACATAGCCTCCACATCTCGCAATAGCTTGGATATTCGCAGTCGCAGTCGCCTCTCCTGGTCCAAGCCAGCCGTGTCGATGTAGTTGGCGACGAGGAAGAGCTCAGCCCCGAGACGCCCACATAATGGTCGCTTGGACTCAACGCCCAGTAAAGACGCGATGTTAGCGACCTGGGCTATGGCAGTATGTGCAAAGTCTATTGGATCCTCACTCGCCATTCCGTTTACGTTACGGTTCAGCATATGTGACCATGGAAATGTGTGTGTGCCAGAGGGAGGCGGCTGAGCGATGCGGGGCAGACTCAGCTGATGATAGCGCGCGCCTATTCACCGCGTGTTCAACCCAGCCCTTGGCTACCTTCAAGTTCTTCGCTTCCTCGGTCGGGCAGTCCATCCTCAACCTATTGCAACTGCATGATTCTGTAAAGTATCTACTATGTGTGTGAAGTGACTACTATGTGATTAGCACTCACTTTCTGGTACTACGGCTTCTCAACTCTGCAACAAAATCTTAAAGAAATGAACAAAGTCTTGTACGAATTTCAGAGGTCTTATTTATCAGGTAGATATGTGAAGCCTGATTTATACATCCATCTTACCTGGGCACTTCTAAAATGCAAACTTTTGTTTTATATTTCATTACCGGGCTGTTACTCTCTATAGGTATGATAAGAGAGAAATTGAGCCCATAGCTAGCTCTATACCTAAGAAAAAGAAAATGATACTTCTATAACCAACCACTACAACAACATCAAGTACCCATCATCACCATCAACATCACCTACACCCTCCCTCGTAGAAACAACTTCTCCGGTCTCAACCACCTCAAAAACCCCTGCACCCCAACCATCCCACTCCCATTCCTCGCCTCCCCATCCTCACTCAACCCCTTCACCTCCAACTCATAGAGTTTCCACGACCTCAGAATCCACAAACACACCGCCCCCAACACAAACATACAAGCAACATACACCTGCGCACTCAAATACCCGGCCCCGCTGCCCGCCATACTCAACGCAATCGCCTCAGCGACCAAATTCGGCGCCACCAGAATCAAACACACCATCCCAAACGTCGACGGGAGACGATTCAACCCGACCACATCAGTAAGCACAGGGGCAATAGTACCCCAGAAGGTCCCGCAGACCATACCGCACAGCACCGCGAAGAGGAGCAGGAGTGCATATGAATGCGCAGGGATCCAGATAGCGAGGCAGAGGATGGCACACGACGCCGTCATAGCCATGGAGATGGTGATGCGGCCGTAGGCATCACTGATGTACCCGACGACCGGACGACCAAGGACAAGGCCGAGGTTGAGGATAGCGCCAGCGACGGACCCCTGCTGCGGGGAGAGGCCGATGGAGGATGCGTAGTTGGGGAGGGAGTAGAGGAGGGTGATGTAGCCGAGGTCAGTGGAGATGCCCCAGACGATGATGAGGAGGACTTCGAGGTGGCCGAGGTCGCGGTGGTTGAAGGTTCGTTGACGGGGTTGAGCGCGTGAGCGAGGCCGGTCTTTGAGGAGGAGGGAAGAGACGAGGTGGGAGCCTAGGGCGCAGGAGGCGAGGATGCGGTAGGTGGATTGCACGCCCACGGATTGGATGGCGCGGCCGGCGGCGAGGTTGTATGCGAGGCCGCCGAGGCCGGCGCCGGAGGCGGCAATGCCGCTGGAGAAGCTGCGTTTGGTGGAGAACCATTTGGGGAGGATGGAAGTGGCGGTTAGATAGAGGAAGCCCATGCCGAAGCCAAAGGCGATGCCTTGGGTGAGTACGAGGTGCCAGACTTGGGTGGAGTAGGAGGCGGCGAAGAGACCGACGAAGATGAGGGCTGTGCCGGTGAGGAGGGTAATGGCTGTGCCTAGTATTTCGTTGGATTTGGTAACGATGGGTCCGATTAAAAGGGATAGGGAGACTTGGAGCCCGCCGATGATCGCATAGTCGAGGTGGCTGGCGCCGGGGAAGGTCGAGTTCGAGAGGTAGTAGTCCAGAATTACACCCCAGGCGCTGTTGATGCCCCAAGTGTGCACGTTGATCATGAATACGCAGAATGTGCACACCCAGCCGTATCCGTTGTTGGGTGGGATGTCTTCCAATGTACTGATGTTGGTGGCATTCTCGGGGCTTTGGTTGATGTCAATTTGGTCGGGCGGCTGTAGTTCGAAATCGTCTCTTACGTTGAGATGCTCCGTGCTAGGGTACATTTTGAACTTCTCTCTGATGAGTTGAAGAGTGCTTTTCTCTTGTTTTTCGGTTAGTTTGATTTTGGCAGCCATGGTGATGGTAGTCAGGGTTTATATGCATGAGTCACGCTCACCCCGCCGTGACACGTCCACCTGCAGACAAAGGCAGAAACTTGAATATGTGTAGAGACCCGATCCAGGGCTATTTGAGCTTTGTGTTGGACTTCAGAGCATGATAGAGGAGGGTAGTAGATCAATTGATATATTGCATTAGTATATTACAGATCAGATTCATGGGTCCACATTCCATTTAATATCCTCCCGGCCAAATATGTCGACGCGTCAGCTTACTCGGAAGTACCGGACTCGACCTTGCCATTCTTCTACCACAGGGTTAGAGTTTTCAATAGATAAGAGGCAAGGGGAGTGGAGTGTCTTACCAGGGTACGGCTGTACTTCACACCGACATTGTTTCCGCTGCGAGAGTCATAGGGAAAGGGGGTGGTGTAGTTGAAGGTGGCAGTCAAGCCCTCGTAGGTCTTCTTGACTGTAGAAAGGATTCCGTTGCCAGCAGAGCAGCTGGCATCAGTTGTGGGAACAGGCCAGCCAGCGTAGTACTCGCTGTAGTCATCATCGGACAGAGGACCCCAGTGAGTCTCGTTCATATACAAGTTGCTCGTATCAACCTCATAGTTAACATAGCCGGTCTTCTTGGCCAGCCAGCTGAACAGGTTCGCACCACAGTCCCAGCGACCCAGGGAGGGGAGGCCCCAGTTGGCAGACAGGGAAGCGATAACGGAATAGTGGGTGTAGAAGGTGTCATCCTTGGTACCCAGAAGATCATCCGGGACGGCGCCGCCGAGAAGGAAGGTGTAGATGTTGTTACCGATTTCATAGGTGCCGGTCTCATCAAAGGTGAGCATAATAAGGGTGTCCTTGGTGAAGTAATCGTTCTCCAAAAGCTCAGATAGGAAGCTCCAAGTCCAGTCACCGGAAAAGGTGATGTTGGTGTCGTGGCCATCGTTGGTCATGTTGGGAGTGATGAACATGTACTGCGGAAGACGGTGGTTCTCCAGATCATCGTAGAAGCTACTGAAGTTCTTGATTTGGCGCAGACGGAGAGCATCTTCGGTGACCGAGTCAAACAGGATCAGAGGATTGTGCTTGCGAACATAGTCGTTGGCACCGCTCTCGGGGTAGCGGTAACCCTGGTACCCAGGGTAAGGGAGGCCTTCCTGGTATTCACCCCAGGCGATGTTCTTGGTATCGAACAAATCAGCTATGGTAGAAACGTTGGAAGGAATCTGATGGAAGTCATCATTGTCCATGCCGAAAGTGTCACCAGCAGCAGATGCGCAGTAGTTCGGCTCCGAAGGGTGAGTGACAGCCCAGAAGTTGTTCAAAAGGAGACCCTTCTTGGCCAGCACCGGCAGATGCTCGGTGGCAGCAGCAGCATCAAAATCCTATCAAAAATGGCATGTCAGCTGTGGCTCAATCACTGCATATACCAGATGTAACAGCTGACATACGGTGTTCTCCAGCCAGATGTTCACAAAGCGGTTGAACGCCAGTCCCTTGACATTCGAAACGGGAGAGTAAGGCTGCACGGTAGCCTGTGCGGCACGAATCTCAGCCAAGGAGGGGTATTCCTCCGTGGTGGTCTGGGCCACAGCCAGAGAAAGACCTCCGAGGAGGGTCACGAGGGACTGCTTGGTAAACATGATGCCCTAGATATCAGCAGACGAAAGCTGAAAGTATATTAAGAGAGGGATCCGGCGTAATATCCACAGAGAAGCACACCAAACAAAAAAATCCAGAAGATTATCGGGCTGCTGAGGACATCTTTATATTTTTCTTCACGGCTGCTGTGGACTCTATACCGGTCCAACACACGCGTGGTTATTCGTGCCGCAACTATTCTAGCCCGGAGCAATTTAATCAACGAACTGCAATTGGACAGGCCTGTGTAACCGACGAAGTTAGTGTGCCAGATTCCCACAGCATCTGCGTCGGCATTGCGGAGCGTTGTCGGCTGCTGTTGTGCATGGCAGGATTGCAGCTGATGCCATCTGGTGAGATGTTCTGCACGTTGCAAGTCAAATGTCGCTGACTGGCCGACAGGGAAATGCCCGCTAATGCCCAGTTTGGAAAGGCGGATAACTTAGATAGCGGAGTGTGACATTCTATTGGACAATTGCTCGACCACTCAGCCAGTGGGGAGCACGGGACTCCCCGTCCCTGGCACGTGCCCGCAATGCCTTCTGCCAGCGGATGGTTTGGCATATACTAGTCTTTCAGACTGAAAGCTCGCTTCCGATGGGACTGCAGTAGTCCATCTCCTGTGGAGACTCCGGTCACAAAGAGTTCGCAGTGCGTGGCTATATTGCGCGAGTGACGGGTACGCTAGGAACATCTCGGACTACTGTACACTACGGAAAGTGGAATAGGTTGAACTCCATAAGGTCGTTGCTCTCATTATTTTGTAGTCAACTCTATCGATCTATATACCTTGTTGACCAGTCCGGTCACACCTGCGTAGCATGTAAATCCATCGACACCATACATCCTATACTCCAGTCCGCTTAAGCAAAGAACTTGGCCTCGCCCTCCTTCAGCTTGCCAGCACCAACCAGGCGCTTGACCTCCTCGGCGTACACGTTCTTGACGGCAGCAGCGTCCTTGCCAGCAGCGGTAAGGCGTCCAGCCAGACCAGCAAGCTCCTCAGCGTCGATCTTGCTGATGACGAGGTCAACGTCGCCGAGAACGGAGTCAACCTGAGCAGCGGAGGGCTCACCACCCTCGCCGAAGTAGTTGACATCCTTGATGGAGCCCTTGAGAACACGCTTGTTCTTCTTGGCGGCGTTCTTAGCAGCCTCCTTGGCCTTCTTGTTCTGCTCACGCTCGGCCTTGGCAGCCTCCTCGGCGTCCTTCTTGCGCTGCTCCTCCTCCAGGCGAGCCTTCTCCTTCTCCTCGGCCAGACGCTTGATCTCAGCCTCCTTCTCGAGACGCTTGCGGTCCTTGTCGGCACGAGCAGCCTTACGGAACTTCTTGATACGCTCGTCACCAGCGGCGCATTCGTCCACAAGGTGGCGGAGACGGGTAGTGTCCTCGGTCTTGCGCTTGCGGCGGGCGTTGGCGTTCTTCTTCTCCATGTGACGCTTCTGGTCACGGTTCTCGTTGTCATCCGGCACATCCTCGTCCAGGTACTCGAAGGTACGCCAGCTGTCGAAGTCGTACCAGAAGTTGTAGAAGGTCTCGACCTCCTCCTGGGTGCTGTTCTCGTCACCGAGCTGGGGCACGGGCTGGATCTTGGAGAAACGGCCCTCGGACTCGAAGACAGGGCGCCAGAGCTTGAAGAAGTTGCCCTTGGCAGCCTCCTTCTTGGTGGGGGGCTCGACATCAGCGGCCTCGTCTACGGAGTCGAACTGACGACGCTTAGTGGGGTCCAGGAGAACCTCAGTAGCCTTCTGGATGCACTTGAAGAAGCTGTCGTTCTCGTCGCGGTCACCCATGGCGGCCTTCTTGTCGGGGTGGTGGCGGAGAACCTTCTTGCGGTGGGCGCGCTTGATCTGCTCGGGGGTGGCACGCCAGCGGTACTTGGACAGGCCGAGAACCTGGTAGTGATCTTGGCTCTGTAGTGTGTAAGAATCATACTTATATCGACGATTTTAGTAATGCATACCTTCCAGTCCTTGGCATCTCTGGAGAGCATCATAGGGTCCTCGTCCTCGGAGATGTCATCATCCTCCTCGTCCTCGGTGCTCTTCACGTTCTGCTGGGCCTGGATACGCTCATCCTCGGAGAAGGTGCGGTGGTGGCGCTTCTGGAGGGTTGTTAGCAGTGAGCCATTATCGCACTGGATCGGTCGCTAAATACGTACTCTGCGGGCGTGGGCCAGGAAGTGAGGGCCAACAGGCTCGAGGTTCCTCTGGGTGGCAGCGGAGACGGTGCCAACGGCCTTGAAGTCCTTATCGGCACTCCAGCCAGAAGGCAGGGAAGGGAGAGTAACGTTGATGGTCTGAACGGTAGCCATGGTCAAGAACAGAGCCACGCGGGGTGATTTGAGGGGAGAATGGGAAAGAGTGAGAAGCGCCCAACGGACTGTTTGAGCAAAAAGACAAAGTGCTTTTCCATTTTTTTCTGCCCCGACTTGCCGCCACCCAGTGGGCCAATCAAACCTTGGCTGTTTCGGAGGTCATCGAAAGTCATGGACTGCCGCAGGGAACGACGGTTAGAATTCAACCTTTTCGCATGTTGATTAGATCTTCTTCTTATATGTTTTGTTGTTTTTGACTGTAGTTTCTATATCAAGGATTCTTTATTTACAGAGCGACGAGCTGCATTCGCCTGACGACCATTCTCTTTATCATCAGATCACCCGTTACTATCGCAGTACGCCACCCCAAAAGACTCAATTTACAAGGAGACAACTTCTAAAAGGTCAACAGATTGAATTTTTTCGATAAATCTCACTATCAACCCTCATAATGTCCTCCCAAACCGCCCTGTCCGCACGCAGTGCTTACCGCCAACTCCTCCGCGCTACCCGCATTGCCTTCCGGGGTCAGTAGCCGCCTCGACAGCCATAAGTCTATTCAACGCTAACCATATTCAACGTGCAGATGATGTTCGTGTTATGATTGCTGCCCGTCAAGAGGCTCGCCGGAACTTCGACAGCCACCGCCGCGAAGGCATTGATACTCCGATGCAGATCAACCATGCGCTCGAAGTGGCGAACATTCTCAGACACAACATTGTCCAGGGTGTACGGGAACAAAATGACGAGAATGCCAAGTGGGGTGAGTAGCTAGCAGAGGAATTATGCTACGGCTGAGTATATGTCGCTGACCCGAGATCCTATTAGAACTCCGCATTCATGACGACATCGAGCGCGGCGATAACGACACCATCAGAGTTAAGGGAAAGACTGTCAAGGTGGATAAGGCATGCTCGTCATAGAGGGGGGGTCTCCCTTGAGGAATCTGACTGTCTGGAAGCCTATGCGTGGGTGAAAGGATGACTGCAGACTATGGTATTTGCAGACTGTATTATAGTATACCCAAACTTTTCTCTCTCCTTCCGGCGTCTTTGGGGGTATTTTATGGTTTAATCAGAATGTAGAAAATATACACAACGCCCGCTCGCGAACATACATAAGACCTCCTTGTTCCCGAACCCTGTAGAAAACAAAATGCGAGTTGAAATGCAGATCAATCACCAGACAGGCTGGAGTACTGGACCTCTCCAGCACCCGGGGGTGGGGCGACAGCATAACTCCGTTGTTTTTGCTCTTTGCCAATCTCCTCTCCGGCAGCGGTGATGGCTCTCTTTCCAGAATCGGCTGCCCGCGGGCCTGCCGCCTGCCGACCTTCCCGGGCATTCTTCAAGCGCTCCTCCCGATCCATGTTATCCAACGGCTTGGGCTTACCCCATCGAACACGCAGAGGGCAGCCTTGGATGACAGCCCGACCCTGGCACTGCTTGGCAGCTGCCTCAGCACCCTCCCGAGTTGCGAAGTTGACGAACGCAGAGTGAGCACGGTGGGAGCAAATGAGCGACCGCAGCTGTCCAAACTGTGTGAAGAAACTCCGCAGCGTATGTTCCGGAAGATCATCCTCCACGCCAGTAACAAAGAGCGATGTGATGTTCGGATCCGCGGGCGGTAGGATATCTTCAGCCGATGGGGGCACCTGAGCGGCGCTGGGAAATGGGCGGCCACCACGACCACCACGCATACCTCCTCGTCCTCTACCCGGAAGTGGCGTTCCCCTCCTGCTTTCGCTTGTGCGAATGGGTCCCGGGCCATTTCCGTAGCGGCTGTGTACGACCGGTGCGTCGCTGGGTCCTGCACTCGCGCCCTCCTCGTCTTGGGGTGCGGCCTCTATCTGGCGAGGCTTCCTGTAGTAGGGTTCACTGTTGGCGAGCCTCCGAAGCAACTCCCGAGCTTTCTCGTCCGTCTTCTCGTATTCCTCCACCGCACCACGCCCCTCTTCGATCTCCTTCTCGTGACCTTGTGCGTAGTATTCGCGGTTGATGGTGCTTTCGGGGCCCGGGGCGACCATCTTCAAAGCAGCGTCACGAACGACGATCGGCAGCCCGAAGGACAGATCCAGCATACAGCACTGGCAGCAGTTCTTCAAACGCGCGCAGGTCAAGCAGATGGCAGTACGCTTCTGGCGCGCGGTGCGGTCAGCTTTCCAGCGGAAGATGGTGAAAGGACGCGTGCACTGGGAATATGTTAGTATGGTCTGGTTATCCGAAAGTGGAAAGGTCTGCCTACAATCTTGCATTCTGCGCCATGGTCTTCCTTGAGCATCTGAACGTAAGGATTGTCGGGCAGGCAGTTCTCGCATACGGAGGGGAAGTCGGTAGTCTCCCATCCGGACCGGTTCAGGTCCTGCTTAATCTGTGGAGGGGGCATCTTGTCGTTGTGTTAATCAGCTGCGCTTCCACACAGAAACGCGAAGCCCTGCGGAGATGATGCGGCGAAGTTGAGCGTTGTCGGTAGCAAGAACTTGGATTATCGATAGTCGTAGTGGCGCATTCTGTGGCTAAGTGTGGCTGTTATGACATAAGCAAGATGTGGGTCACGTGATAAGACTGCAAGTTCCTGCATCACATGCATGGAAATGAACCCGAGTGCTTGTTTAGGCATCTGCGTAAGGAGTATAGTAATTCCATTAGAAAGTGCATGATGCTCAATCATACAGAGTCTGAAACGAAACCTTGCAGTCGAGGCCTTGATCCTGCGGCATTCAACATGATAGCATAGCCTCTTCTGTGCGACCAGCGGATCCAGTGATGCCTGGCGGAATACGCACCGGATACGCGATACGCGATACGCAGCTTCTCGATATGACCAGGAACGCCCTGGTCAACTGCCTAGTACGGCTTAGTGCTGTTCCACCGTCTCTTTCGGATACAACTTTTTCCTGGCCAGAACCCCAGGATGCCTGTTCGGGCCTAGCCCCCCGCCATCTGGTTGGCTGGCCAGCGGCACAGCGGTGATTGGCTGGGGAAATGTCAAAGTCAGTCGTAATTCCGCCTCCCCTTTCTTTCGGGCGATCGCATTAACTGCTGCGTTGGCCTCGCTTGCTTCTTCGTATTCTTTCGTTTTCCTCTTCCTTCACTTCTGTCTGCCTGTTTGGCCTTTCTTCTTTTCTCAGGATCGTGTTTGTGGTTATAAAACTGCCTCAATTTCCTCCTCAAGTCCCTGTATCCGAACCACTTACTCCGGACACCTGTGCTTCTTGACCGATCCACCCCTTTTTATCCCACTTTAATTTCCAATTGCTGTCAACAATGGCTCCCGCAGCTCTTGAACAGGAGAACCATGCGCGTGATGCGGAGTTCAACCGCGTTCTCCATGGAAAGTCCGCTGAAGCTCAGGGTGGTTTTGCTGCCATGCGCAACAAGGACGCTGCCGCTCAGAAGGCTGCTGTCGACGAGTACTTCAAGCACTGGGACAACAAGAGCGCTGAGGAAGAGACTGAAGAGATCCGTGCGGTATGTTTGCGACTTACTCCTTTCCGATATTAATGCTAAGCCTTGTACTAATATTCTGATGTTCTAGGCCCGTCGTGCCGAGTATGCGACCTTGACCAGACAGTATGTACCACTATTGGGATCCAGATTCATGACTTTGATCATCAGTACTGACTTGAATTTTCTATAGCTACTACAACCTTGCGACGGACTTCTACGAGTACGGATGGGGTACCTCCTTCCACTTCTGCCGTTTCTCCCCTGGCGAGGGCTTCCACCAGGCCATCGCTCGCCACGAACACTATCTCGCCCATCAGATCGGCATTAAGTCTGGAATGAAGGTTCTCGATGTTGGCTGCGGTGTCGGAGGCCCTGCCCGTGAGATCGTCAAGTTCACCGACGCCAACGTGGTCGGCCTGAACAACAACGACTACCAGATCCAGCGTGCTACGCGCTACGCTGAGCGTGAGGGTTTGGCCCACAAGCTGACCTTCGAGAAGGGTGACTTCATGCAGATGAAGTTCGAGGACAACACCTTCGACGCTGTCTACGCCATTGAGGCTACCTGCCACGCTCCCGAACTCGAGGGTGTCTACAAGGAAATCTTCCGTGTCCTGAAGCCCGGTGGTGTTTTCGGTGTCTACGAATGGTTGATGACCGAGGAGTACGATAACAGCAACGCCGAGCACCGCAAGATCCGTCTCGGTATCGAGCAGGGTGACGGTATCTCCAACATGGTCAAGGTCTCCGAGGGTCTTGACGCCATGAAGGGAGCCGGTTTCGAGCTGCTCCACAACGAGGATTTGGCCGACCGCCCCGACACCATCCCCTGGTACTACCCCTTGGCCGGTTCCTTCAAGCACTTGACCTCCCCCTGGGACTTCTTCACAATCGCTCGTATGACCTGGTGGGGCCGTGGCATTGCCCACCGTTTCGTCGGTGCCATGGAGAAGGTCGGTCTCTTCCCCAAGGGCTCCCAGAAGACTGCCGACAGTCTGGCCTTGGCCGGTGACTGCCTTGTTGCCGGTGGTGAGAAGAAGCTGTTCACTCCCATGTACCTCATGGTTGGCCGCAAGCCCGAGTAACCGGTTTCAGCAAAAAACTTGCATTATGCGATAACGCCTGTACAAATTATTCTGGGACAGCATCCTATTGCATAGACAGCACGGCGGTCTATGTTCTTTAATATCCGGGTTTCTTTTTTTTTCCTTTATATTTCCCTATGTTTCATTCCCTTTCTTGTGTGTCATTATATTGCATACCGCCGCGGGATGCTTTGTTTTCGTTAGTGCATTTGTTTTTCCCATCTCATGTCCTGCCCATACGGGAATGGGCAGGCGTACGAAATCACTGCTGAGTATTATGTGCCGATGGTGATGATTCCTTTCTATCGCTTGTCATTTGTTGTTCAGAATAGATTTAATAGCGAGTACCAGGAATAACGAGTCTCAAAATTACCTATTTCACTTAACTCCCTTCCATACCAACAACGTAAATCCTAACCAGTCCGTCTCATACCTTATCAAGCACCTCATCCCATAAACTACTCAATATATTCCTACCGAGCCACCTCAATCTCCTTCGCCTCCGCCTTCTCCTTTTCCTTC